GCTGCCGATTAGCTTCCGAGCACAATTCAAAGTGCTGGTTTTGACCTACAAAGCCCTAAACGGCTCTGGCCCTGTTTACCTGTCCGAACGGATTCTCCCCTATGAACCATCGAGGTCTTTAAGATCTTCCTGGGGGGGGGGGGGGCTGCTCTCGATCCCACCACTGTCACAATCACGGTTGGTTGGGACGAGAGACAGGGCCTTCTCGATGGTGGCTCCCCGGCTTTGGAACTCCCTCCCACAGGAGATTAGAACTGCTCCCTCCCTCCTGACATTCAGGAAGCTAACAAAGACTTGGTTATGGAATGCGGCCTTTGATAACTGAATCAACCTTGGTCCACATGGAAGGAGAATGAATAACTGTGAATTAAGACCAGGAATGTTTTGACGACATGGCTATGTAAATGTGATGATGACATTGCATGGTAATATGTTTTTAATTGTGTACTGATGATGCATTGTGTGGTTTGTATTTTTATATATGAACACATGTTGTGAACCGGATCCGAGTCCCTCATATAGGTGAGAAGATCGGTATAAAAAACTTTTAAATAAATAAAAATTTAAATAAATAAAATAATTGCTATATAAAATCCAGATTGTCTGCTTTGAACTGGATTATATGGCAGTGTAGACTACAGGCCTTCCAGACAGGCCCTATATCCCAGGATCTGATCCCAGGAAAGAGCTTCCAGAACATGGAAAAGGGTGCCTTTTTGGACAGTCATTCCTGCCAACCTAAAAATTATAAATAGTAACAATATAAAATAATAATATCATAGTATTATTAAATAATCCAGTAATCCAGGTATTACCATCCTTCCTCTCTATCTTAGAATTATAAATAGGAAAATAATAATAATAATAATAATAATAATAATAATAATAATAATAGGTAAAAGGTAGTCCCCTGACATTAAGTCCAGTCATATCTGACTCTGGGGTGTGGTGCTCATCTCCATTTCTAAGCCAAAGAGCCAGCGTTGTCCGTAGACACCTCCAAGGTCATGTGGCCAGCATGACTGCATGGAGCGCCGTTACCTTCCCACCGGAGCGGTACCTATTGATCTACTCACATTTGCATGTTTTCGAACTGCTAGGTTGGCAGAAGCTAGGGCTGACAGCGGAAGCTCACGCCGCTCCCAGGAATCGAACCTGCGACCTTTCGATCAACAAGCTCAGCAGCTCAGTGTTTTAACCCACTGCGCCACCGGGGGCTCCAATAATAATAATATAGAAATAATACTAAATATCCTTTTGGAGTAGCAAGGTATTATGTACGGCTGTATGGCCATGTTCCAGCTGCATTCTCTCCTCTCACCTTCATCTGTGGTTGGTATCCTCAGAAGTTTGTTCAGAGATCTGTTGAGGAAACCCTCTGAGGATGCTTGCAACAGATGCAGGTGAAACATCAGGAAAGAATGCTGCTGGAACATGGCCATACAGCTGGCAAAACTCACAGCCACGAAAACCTTCGACAACACATTCCTAGCATAATTGGGATGGGGGATTCTGGGAGTGGCAGTCCATAAAGAAGGACCTTCCCCAGTCTCCGAAGCACAGGTGCTGCAGGGGATGTTTCAGAAGCAGGAACTGGAAGAACCACTTCTGGGTCTTCCTTGCCTGAGGAAAAAACAATATGGCATTTATAGGGCTGCTATAAGTCAACAGGCAATTTGGATGCACGTTCAAATAGACACTTAACGGTGACCAGTGCTGCCAGTGTCTCGGGCTCTGCTGAACACCTTTCCTTGGAGATCCCTTTGCGCCGAAAAAGGCCTGTGTCTCCTGCAGATATCAGCTGCGGTGAGGGGCTTCCGAGCCATTCCTGCAGCAGCGGAAGGAAGCGGAGGGTCTTTTCTTCCTTCTCTTCACACGCAAAGCCATAAAGCAGAGGTTTCCTGGCGCCTGGGGTCTTCCGCAGGCAGTGAGGAACTTGGGGCCACCAAAGAAAAGGGGCAGGCAAGAGGAAGGCAGAGCAGCATTGTTTGCGAGCGTTTGCAACTGTGGGGCCAGAAGAACTAGATCTCAGAAAGAACTTGGTTTCTTAAATAGTAGTTTTATAAAGCAGGCTAATTCATGTTGTGTGCCTTTGGGTTGTTTTCAACTTATGGCAACCCTATAGTGGAGCTATGATAATTTCCTGTCTGAAATTCCTCTGTTTTCTGAGTGTTGTTCTTTTTCTTTACGGTCCTGATTTTAGAGTTTTTTTAAATACTGGTAGCTAGGTTTTGCTCATTTTCATGGTTTCCTCCGTTCTGTTGAAATTGTCCACATGCTTGTGGATTTCAATGGCTTCTCTGTGTAGCCTGACATGGGGCTTGTGAGCGAGGTCCAGCATCTCTTGACTGAAGACTGTCCGGAAGCTTCAAATTGTGCAACGGATGGAAGCCAGATTACTAACAGGAGCGGCACTCAGAGAGCATACAACTCCTCTGTTGTGCCAGCTCCACTGGCTGCCAGTCTACTACCGGGCACAATTCAAAGTGCTAGCTTTAGCCTATAAAGGCCTAAACGGTTCTGGCCCAACTTACCTGTCCAAACGAATCTCCCCTTATGAATCTGCTAGGACTTTAAGGTCGCCTGGGGAGGCCCTGCTCTTGATCCCAGCTGTGCCACAAAAACAGTTGGTGGGGATGAAAGACAGGGCTTTCTCAGTGGTGGCTCCTTGGCTACGGAATGCCCTTCCTAGGGACATTAGATTGGACCCTTCCCTCTTAACATTCCGGAAAAGAGTCAAGACTACCGTATACCATGCAGCTGTGGACAAGTCTACATAGGGACCACCAAACGCAGCGTTGCCCAAACACGAATCAACCTGCAATGTCCTTGGAGGGACTGCTTTTGGTGGCTTCTCGGCACTGGGAACTATAGCCAGTTGCCCAAACACGAATCAACCTGCAATGTCCTTGGAGGGACTGCTTTTGGTGGCTTCTCAGCACTGGGAACTATAGCCAATTTGTGGAGGCAGGAGGCTGTGTAAATGGACACTTCCACCACATACACATGTACACATTTTTCACTTTTATTATGTGTATAGGTATTTATATACCGCCCCTCTCAGCCCACAGGCGACCCTATGTGGTCAGTCGTCCCCTTGATGTACGGGAAGAATACTTTTCCTCTGGGTTGATCTTTGTCTTGATTCTCGTGGCTTCTTCTTGGTCTTGCAGCTCTTCTGATGTTTGTGGTGGAAAGCCTTGCTGTTTCCATCTGTATATAAAGAGCTGAGTAGTTAAAGAGGTAGAGAAAAAATACTAGTTCCTCAGTCGGAAAGCTTCAGAGCAAAGAAGTTCTGTCTTTGGAGCTGGATAGTTTTTCTGTTTGATGCCAGCATTTCTCCTCTTTCTTCTCAAGGGCAAACACACCTGTTGCCATCCCTCTTTATTCTATTCTTTGAACCTGCAAAACCACAGGTCTTGCCATCTGGGCTTTGCAGCTGTCTCCATTCTGGCCTCAAAGCCACAGCTTTTGACGGGTGGGACATGACAAACTTGGCAAGGAAAAGGAAGAATGTCCCAGGCAGAGCACAGTGTTTTGTCAAAGGACAGGTGTGCTCATCTTTTCATGAACCAGACATCAACAAAGCTTTCCAGGGATGAAAGGGGCACCCCAGAATGAACAGTTTATAGGGAAACGTTTTTGGATGCATTTTTAAAAGTAGTGTTTCTTAACCATCCGAATGCCGCGACCCCTTAGTACACTTCTTCAAGTTGTGGCGATCCTCAACCATAACATTATTTTCGTTGCTACTTCATAACTGTAATTTTGCTGCTGTTATGGATTGTCATGTAAATATCAGATATGCAGGGTGTATTTTCATTCACTGGACCACAATTTGCACAAATATCTGATATATTTCAATACTGGTGGGGTTGTGTGGGGATTGATTTTGTCGTTTTGGAGTTGTAGTTGCTGGGATTTATAGTTCACCCACAATCAAAGAACACTCTGAACTCCACCAACAATGGAATTGAACCAGATTTGGCACATAAAACTCCCATGACCAACAGAAAAAACTGGAAGGGTTCGGTGGGCATTGACCTTGAGTTTGGGAGTTGTAGTTCACCTACATTGACAGAGCACTATGGACTCAAACAATGATGGATCTGGACCAAAATTAGTACAAATACTCAATATGTCCAAATGTGAACACTGGTGGAGTGTGGGGAAAATGGACCTTGACATTTGGGAGTTGTGGTTACTAGGATTTATAATTCACCTACAATCAAAGAGCATTCTGAACTCCACCAACAATGGAATTGAACCAAACTTGGCAGACAGAACTCCCATGACCAACAGAAAATACCAGAAGGGTTTGGTGGGCATTGACCTTGAGTTTTGGAGTTGTAGTTCATAGAATCATAGAATCAAAGAGTTGGAAGAGACCTCATGGGCCATCCAGTCCAACCCCCTGCCAAGAAGCAGGAATATTGCATTCAAAGCACCCCTGACAGAAGGGTTTGGTGGGCATTGACCTTGAGTTTGGGAGTTGCAGTTCACCTACATTGACAGAGCACTATGGACTCAAACAATGATGGATCTGGACCAAAATTGGTACAAATACTCAATATGTCCAAATGTGAACACTGGTGGAGTGTGGGGAAAATGGACCTTGACATTTGGGAGTTGTGGTTACTGGGATTTATAATTCACCTACAATGAAAGAGCATTCTGAACCCCAACAATGATAGAATTGAGCCAAACTTCCCACATAGAACCCCCCCCCCCCCATGCCTTGAAGGGACTAGCTGGCATGAGCCTCCCTCCAACCTTGCCTAGATGCAGGCGAAACGTCAGGAGAAAATGCCTCTAGAACATGGCCATATAGCCCGGAAAAACCTACAACAACCCAACCTTGCCTTCGCTTAAGTTGGTGATGGGAGAAAGCAAAGGGTCTGAAGCTGTGGGAGTTGAAGTCCAAAACACCTGGAGGGCCAAAGTTGGCCCATGCCTAATCTACACTATAGAATGAATGCGGTTTGAACTCTCTCTTGCAGGTAAACATGAAAAAAGAAAAGGAAGTGCACTGGGAGATGGACAGCGAGGAGACGGTGGTCTTGGTCAACGGAAGCTGCGGGGATCCATCGGAGGACAAAGCCAACACTGCTTTAGAGATCAAAGGGAAGAGGAAAAAACCAGGTACCTTTTCTTCAGTGGAGATGAAGCATCAATTCATCACTTTTGAAAATATAGGCAGTCCCAAAGGAGCCTCCGGTGGCGCAGTGGGTTAAACCCTTGTGCCGGCAGGACTGAAGACCGACAGGTCACAGGTTCGAATCTGGGGAGAGGCGGATGAGCTCCCTCTATCAGCTCCAGCTCCTCATGCGGGGACATGAGAGAAGCCTCCCACAAGGATGATAAAAACATCAAATCATCCGGGCGTCCCCTGGGCAATGTCCTTGCAGACGGCCAATTCTCTCACACCAGAAGCGACTTGCATTTCTCAAGTCGCTCCTGGCACGACAAAAAAAAAAGTCCCAAAGTTACACACATCAGACTTACAGATGACCTTTAGTTAAGAACGGGGCTGGAAGAGTTATTATCATGGGGAAAAGGGGTCTCCACTAGACTAGTGGCGCAGTATTTGTTTACTTTAGGTATTCATTTCGTACCATCCATTCGGAAGGCACGACATGAAAGACCCCTTTTCGGATGAAAGGCAAAATGAAAGAGAAAGTTGCACAGTTTCTGTTTCTTTGTTTGGTTTTTGGGCCACGTAGTTTTCTTCACATGACCCATCAAAATGTGATCATAAAATAAATTTAAAAAACCACGAAGCCATCAAATACAAAAATAATACAAGGCGGTAAAACTATGTAAGCCATGGAAGGTGGAATTCATGGATGCAGACGGCCAACTTTGAAAGAATATATGACCAAAAACATACTGTAGAATAAATGCAATTTGACCGTCACTTTAACTGACAAAGCTTTTTTTTTTCTGTATCCAGAGCGACTTGAGAAAACTGCAAGTCGCTTCTGGTGCAAGAGAATTGGCCGTCTGCAAGGATGTTGCCCAGGGGATGCCCTTGGGAGGCTTCTCTCATGACCCCACATGGGAAGCTGGAGCTGACAGGTGGGAGCTCACCCCACTCTCCTGTGGGAGGCTTCTCTCATGACCCCATCCTGTGGGAGGCTTCTCTCATGACCCCACATGGGAAGCTGGAGCTGACAGGTGAGAGCTCACCCCACTCTCCAGATTCGAACTGCTGACCTTTTAGTCAGCAGTCTTGCCGGCACAAGGGTTTAACCCACTGCACCACCACGGTCTCCTTCCTGGTATCGTGGGACTTGTAGTTTGGTGACACATCAGCCTTCTTGAGAAAGCTTAAGATCTTGAAAAAGTACAGATCCCAGAATCCCATGGCATTGAGCTATGGAAATTAAAGTGGTGTCAAACTGCATTCATTCTGCAGTAAGTCAGGAAAGGAGGAGGAGTAATCACAAGACCACTGTTTTATTTCCATTCTTCCTTGTGTAGATGCCAGCGAGGCAGAGCAGCTGTCTTCCAAGACAAAGGAAACGTCTGACCAGATTCCAGGGAGCCCCAAAAAATGGCACGAGGTAAGATCTTCCAAGCCCCAATTGTGTGGTTGTGCCTTCTCGTTTCTTCCTTCCCGGGACAGGGGCGCAGCTGGCTGTGTGTCAGCTGCATTAAGATCACTTCTGACCAAAAGATCATGAGTTCGAAGCCAGCCCGGGTCGGAGTGAGCTTCCGACCAATTGTGTAGCTTGTTGTCGACCTTTGCAACCTGAAAGACAGTTGCATCTGTCAAGTAGGAAAATTAGGTACCACCTTGTGTAGGGAGGCTAATTTAACTAATTTATGAGGCCATAAAAAAGCACTCCAACAAAAGCATGCGGGGAATGAGGAAGTACGTTATCAGTATCGCAGATGGATGATGAAACCGACAGCTCCCCTGGCACCGAGAAAAGTTAAATAGCCTCTGACTGTCTGTCTATATCTGTTGTGTGTCTTTGGCATTGAATGTTTGCCATATATGTGTACATTGTAATCTGTCCTGAGTCCCCTGCAGGGTGAGGAGAAGGGTGGAATATAAATACTATCAATAAATAAATTCTATATGGGATCAAAACAGTGCCAGCTGTGCCACATGTGAGGTTGTGTTGAGGGTGTCCTTCTCCAGAACTGCATTTCCATTGTTTCCATGGGTTGCTTTGATGCAGAACATCATCTTATTGCTGCCCTACGTACAAAGTCAATCAGTAAGGGTGTCTGCATAGAGGTCCACAGATGCAGGCAGAATATTAGGAGAGAATGCTTCTGGAGCATGGCCACACAGCCTGGAAAACTCACAGCAACCCATTGTTTCCTGCCATGAAAGCCTTTGACAATACAGCGAACACGCCGCTTCTTCTTGCCTGCCTGAAAGCAGGGAGGATTTCCAGGTTCTTGGGCTTCCAGGGAATTGCAGCGTGCCCAGACAGGCTCCTGGCAGACTGTGTGTTTGGGTCCTGCACATCGTCATTGAGATTGCAGGAACAAGACACAAAAGAGCCTCTTTCTCTTTCCCTTCTTTTGTTCATCCCTTTGTTTTGTGCTTCGGGGAAGGGGATTGGAATGCAAGAGGGGAAATGGCAGGAAATGAGATTGGGAAAAACTTCCTGACAGCTAGATCTCTTAGACTCATAGAATCATAGAGTTGGAAGAGACCTCATGAGCCAACCAGTCCAACCCCATTTGGCCAAGAAGCAGGAATATTGCATTTAAAGCACCCCTGACAGATGGCCATCCAGCCTCTGATTAAAACCTTCCAAAGAAGGAGCCTCCACCACACTCCTGGGCAGAGAGTTCCACTGATGAACAGCTCTCACAGTCAGTGTGCTGGTACGCCTGTACCAGGAGCTCCAACTTTAATTTCTTTCTGTTAAAGTTTGCAGTTATAGGGCAGCCCTCCTGTCCATCTTAATTAAGCTTTGGTTCCACCCCTTGTTCAGGCTTCTGGGAGGGAAGGGAGCCATTTTTTGGTCAGTGTCACACAAGGTAGCTAAGCTATAGGATGTAGAATCATAGAATCAAAGAGTTGGAAGAGACCTCATGGGCCATCCTGTCCAACTCCCTGCCAAGAAGATCATAGAAAAGCTTCCTTTCGTAAGAACTTCCAGGGAAAAAAGGAACGTCCGGGAAAAAGGATCACCCAGAGAAAAGGATCATCTAGGGAAACTGACCATCCAGGGAAACTGAAATTCACTGAACTCAGCTGAAATATCTTCAAGCCTCAGCCGGTAAAGTCTGCTCGATACCCAGACGCACTTGGATTCGGTAGTAGCACCCATACCGATGAGGCATAGATAGAAAGCAGCCTGGGAGAGGTTAAAAAGGGGTTTTCCTACAGAAAAGGTTCAGTTGATCAAAGTCAGGTGCCAGTCCATTGAGGACTAGACTAAGAAAGCCTTGAAGTGTTGTTTGAACCATTGAAGATTTGTTGTTGGTTCCATGATAAAGCAGAAAACAAGTTTGCTCCCTCCTCCCCCCTGTGGCTTCCTCTCACATATTTATACATGGCTATCATATCTCCTCTCAGCCTTCTCTTCTTCAGGCTAAACATGCCCAGTTCCCTAAGCCGCTCCTCATAGGGCTTGTTCTCCAGACCCTTGATCATTTTAGTCACCCTCCTCTGGACACATTCCAGCTTGTCAATATCCCTCTTGAATTGTGGTGCCCAGAATTGGACACAATTGAAGAGAGATATTGACAACAGTATCTTCAACAGTGGCATCCGCTTCCTGGGAGTCCAGTGGAGCTTCCTTCCTTTTCTGGAGGTTTTTAAGCAGAGGCTGGATGTCCATCTGTCAAGAGGGCTTGGGTTGTATTTTTCTGCACAGCAGGGAGTGGGGACTGGATTACTTTCGTAGTTGTTTTCAACCCTTACGAGATTCTTTATAACATCCTGGCACCATGTTATAGAATCCAAGAGTTGGAAAATATCACAAGGGCTGTCCAGTTCAACCTAGGCAGGAAGACATCATCAAAGCACTCCCAACAGATGGCCATCCAGCCTCTGCTTAAAATCCTCCAGAGAAAGAGTCTCACCAGTTCCCACTGCTGAACAGTGTTATGTTTGGGTTGTTGTAGGTTTTTCGGGTTGTATGTGGGGGGTTGTGGGGGATTGATTTTGTCATTTGGGAGTTGTAGTTGCTGGGATTTATACTTTACCTATAATCAAAAGGCATTCTGAACTCCACCAACGATGGAATTGAACCAAACTTGGCACACAGAACTCCCATGACCAACAGAAAATACTGGAAGGGTTTGGTGGGCATTGCCCTTGAGTTTGGGAGTTGTAGTTCATCTACATCCAGAGAGCACTCTGGACTCCCAACAATGATGGATCTGGACCAAACTTGGCACGGATACGCAATATGCCCAAATATGAACACTGAGGGAGTTTGGGGAAAATAGATCTTGATATTTGGGAGTTGTACTTGCTGAGATTTATAGTTCACCTATAATCAAAGAGCATTCTGAACTCCACCAATGATGGAATTGAACCAAACTTGGCACACAGAACTCCCATGACCAATGGAAAATACTTGAAGGGTTTGGTGAGCATTGCCCTTGAGTTTGGGAGTTGTAGTTGAGCACTGGGGGCTGAAACAATGATATGTCTGGACCAAACTTGGCATGAATACTCAATATACCCAAATGTATACACTGGTGGAGTCTGGAGAAAATAGACCTTCATATTTGAGAGTTGTACTTGCTGGGATTTATAGTTCACCTACAATCAAGGGGTGTTCTGAACTCCACCAACGATGGAATTGAACCAAACTTGGCACACAGAACCCCCATGACAAACAGAAAATACTGTTTTCTGATGCTCTTTGGTGATCCCTCTAACAGGCCCCCAGGTCCTGACCCCCAGGTTGAGAAACACTGGATTATTCATTGCCATCGAGTTAATTCCAACTCACAGCAACCCCCTCCACCTCTTGCTATTAATACTACTATTTATTTATATGCTGTTTTTCTCTCTTAAAGAGACTCAAAAGGGGTGGACAGTGGTCAAAACTATAGATCAGATCCGATTTTGCAAATGCAAAGCAGCAACCATGGCTTCCTTAGTTGAGCCAATCCACCTTCAATGTGGCCTTTGGATTGCATCTCTATAGTAGAATTAATTCAGCTTGATATCATTTTAACTTCCAAGGTTCCATGTTACAGAAGCATGGGAGTTGTAGTTTTGCAAGAGCTTTAGCTTCTCTGCCTTGGCAAACTACAAATTAGAGGATTCTGATGCCAGATAGATGACCAAACACCCTGGACATCTCTCTTGCAGGTTAACGTGAAAAGGAAAAAAAAGGTTAAATCTGAGACGGACAGCGAGGAGAAGGTGCTCTTGGTCAACGGAAGCTACGACGAATCAGCAGAGGAGAAAGCCAACGCCAGTTTGGATTCCAAAGGGAAGAGGAGGAAGCCAGGTATGTCAATGGCTGAGCACAATGGTTGCACTTTTCTTTCCTTAAGACATTAAACATAAAAACCTTACAATGCATTGTGCATGGAGGGTTAAATCCGTGGATGCAGAGGGCTGGCTGCAGAAGGACACATAGCTAAAGACATGCAAAAAGTTCAAGCACTGCAGAATTAGATATAATATTGGGGTGCATCTATAATGTATGAATGCAGTTCAACCGCACTTTACCTGCCATGGGAAGCATCTATGGAGCCCTGGGAATTGTAGTTCAGGGAAGCATCTATGGAGCCCTGGGAATTGTACTTTGGAGAAGCATCTGTGGAATCCTGAGAGTTATAGTTTGGGGAAGCACCTGTGGAATCCTGGGAGTTGTCATTTCGGGAAGCATCTGAGGAGTCCTGGGAGTTGTAGTTTGGGGAAGCATCTGTGGTGTCCTGGGAGTTGTAGGTTGGGGAAGCATCTATGGAGCCCTGGGAGTTGTAGTTTGGGGAAGCATCTGTAGAATCCTGGGAGTTGTAGGTTGGGGAAGCATCTATGGAGCCTTGGGAGTTGTAGTTTGGGGAAGCATCTGTAGAATCCTGGGAGTTGTAGGTTGGGGAAGCATCTGAGGAATCCTGGGAGTTGTAGCTTGGGGAAGCATCTGTGGAATCCTGGGAGCTGTAGTTTGGGGAAGCATCTGTGGAGTCCTGGGAATTGTACTTTGGAGAAGCATCTGTGGAATCCTGGGAGTTGTAGTTTGGGGAAGCATCTGAGGAGTCCTGGGAGTTGTAGTGTGGGGAAGCATCTGAGGAGTCCTGGGAGTTGTAGTTTGGGGAAGCATCTGTGGAGTCTTGGGAATTGTAGTTTGGCGAAGCATCTGTGGAATCCGCGGAGTTGTAGTTTGGGGAAGCATGTGTGGAATCCTGGGAGTTGTACTTTGGAGAAATATCTGTGGAATCCTGGGAGTTGTAGTTTGGGGAAGCATTTGTAGAATCCTGGGAGCTGTAGTTCGGGGAAGCATCTGAGGAATCCTGGGAGTTGTAGTTTGGTGAAACAGCTCTGGAATCCTTGGAGTTGTAGTTTGGGAAAACATCTATGGAGCCCTGGGAGTTGTAGTTTGGTGAAGCACTGTGGAATTTTGGGAGTTGTAGTTTGTTAAAGAATCAGTCCTCTTTATCTGATAAAGACTCAAGAACCTGGAAAACTACAACTCCCAGGATTCTATAATATTGAGCCGCGGTAATCAAAGTCATGCTCAACTGCATTAATTCTCCCATCCCAAGTTAAGGTGGGGGAAGATATTGGAAGACTTTTTATTACTTCCGATCTAAACTCAGACGTTTTCCTTCGTGCAGAAGCTGACGATGTGGAGCAATTGTCCCCCAAGAAAGAGGAAGGGCAAGAGGTAAGATCTTCCATGCATGAATCATGTTGCTTTTCCCCCAAATAATAATAATAATAATAATAATAATAATAATAATAATAATAATAATAATCTTTATTTATACCCTGCCACCATCTCCCCAAGGGGACTCGGGGTGGCTTACATGTGGCCAAGCCCTGCAATACAGTAAGCAATATACAACAGAACATAGCAAAATAGAATAAAATAAAATACAAACCCATTTGTATTTATATAGCAGGAAAATCCTTACTGTTGTGCCGCATTCAAGTTGGATATGGGATGTCTGTCCAGCCTTTCCAAGGGTTACTTTGGTGCCGAATTCTGGGATAATACAAAACATCTGTATTGATGCAGAAAATGAATCAGTTGGAAAAAACTATTTTCTGGTGGGGTCCATCACAACCCTACCAATGGTACAATTGAGCCCCCAAACAGACTAGAAACCCCCTATTCAAGCCCCTTCTTCCAGGCTGTAAGACACAATCAAAGCACTCCTGACAGATGGCCATCCAGTCTCCGATTAAAAACCTCCAGAGAAGGAAGGAGATTCCACCAGACTCCCAAGCTGCAGCAGATTCCACTTACAAACAGCTCTTACTGTTAGGAATTTCTTCCTAATGTTCAAGTGGAATTTCTTGCTGAACATCCCCAGCTCTTTTAGCCTCTCCTCAGAGAGACTAATCATTTCCAAGACTTTTCACTGTTTTGGTCGCCCACTGGGCGCCTTCCATCATGTCCATACTGTTTTCAATATCATTTAACATTAAGAAACATTAAATGGGTTCTTTTATTTTGTTTACATTGAGGTACTTTACAGAAAAGAAGTTAGGCTACACACCATTGCGACATAGCTACATAGGGTACACAAACAAGGGGAGTTTTATTTTCACTCAACATTCACACACATATAAACATTCACTCCTCATCATGTATACATTACCATCTCTTCTTTCCTCTCCTGGAAAAGAGAACTAAATCGAGGCCAGATCGCGTTCCCAGCAAATCCTCCATTCTACAAATACACCATCTTCCTCCGTCCCTTGGAAAAGATTGTCAGGTGGACCAGACTCCTCAGGTCTGCCACAATTTTGGAATATTAAAATGTCTCTTATATAGCATATTTCTGCTGATGTTCCAAAAAGTTGTAAATGAATGACAGGTGTTTTCCCCAGCTAAACCATCCTGACCTCTACCAGATCTTGGACAGATGTTGGCTTTTTTTCTTAACTGACACTGGTTTTCCTTCTTAAGGAGCATTGTGTTTGGGTTGCTGTGTGTTTTCCAGGCTGTATGCTCATGTTTCTCTCCTGAAAGAGTCATTATCTCTGGTCATGTAAACATGTTGTTTTCCACCAAGAGTTAATCATTTGTCTCTGGTCTTCAATGTCAGTCATTCAGCAACTTTTAATTACAGTTTAGCAGTTCATGTGGACTGTTATCAACCCATCCTATATCTGCATTTGAGTTCATGCCATGTCATACATTTTTTTCCTGTTGGAGGGTCATGTTGTTAATCTTGATGTTCCTCCCCAGATTCGACCCCGTGGAAGTGCCGGCTGGGAGAACTGCTTGCGCCAGAAGCCCCCTCCCCGCATTGTCTTCCAGGCAGGACCCACCTCACAGGAGAAAAAGAGCAAAGACGACGTGGAGAGCGTGGAAGCCTTCAAGGAGAGGCACAAAATCAGGGTGAGGCCCCAGTTGGGAAATTGCGATCCATGAACCATGTTTGGGCATTTTTCTGGGCAGGAGAAGCACCTCATATCCCCTTAAGTATTTATATTTTTTGCCAAAACATTGCCCATAAAAGCAATACCAGGGATCAAACACAAACACAAGAGACTCAAAGTGGTTGGGTGGTTGAGTGGGCAACCCTGATCTCCAGAGTCCAGGCCCAAAATAATTAGTGGATCACAGTGGGTATGCACATATATGTATGTATGTGTATATAGTTATTCATGCACTTACTTACTTACTTAGGCGATCCCTGGTTGTCCAAGTAGGATAGTCTTCCAGGATCGGTGTCCTGGTGGTGGGTCCATAGGTGACTGTGGAGCCCTATTCTTGATCTGCATCTTCTCCCACAGTGAGGGCATCGGTTTCCAGGTGGAAGGCGGTCTCGGTCGGGGTTGGCTTGACATGCCTTCCTCTTGGCACGTTTCTCTCTTTCGCCCTCCATTCGTGCCTCTTCAAGTTCTACAGCACTGCTGGTCACAGCTGACCTCCAGCTGGAGCACTCAAGGACCAGGGCTTTAAGCCCATCTTTCAATCTCTTTTCCTGTCCTCCAACATTCCGTTTTCCATTCTTGAGTACAGAGTAGAGCAACTGCTTTTGGAGACGGTGGTCGGGCATCCGGACAACGTGGCTGGTCCAGCGGAGTTGGTGGCGGAGGACCATCACTTCAATGCTGGTGGTCTTTGCTTCTTCCAGCATGTGACATTTGTCTGCCTGTATATACACATGCACATGCACATACTATATGTATGTATATATAATATATATGAATATATTTATACACACAATATATATATATATATATATATATATATATATATGTGTGTGTGTGTGTGTGTGTGTGTGTGTGTGTGTGTGTGTGTATGTGCATACATTATGCATATACACACTGTGATCCATATGTGTGTGTGTATACACATGCACACATACTATATGTATGTATATATAATGTATGGTTAAACACGAGCCAATAATGTGATGTGGCGGCAAAAAAAGCCAATGGGATTTTGGCCTGCATCAAGAGGAGCATAGTGTCTAGATCTAGGGAAGTCATGCCCCATGCTCTATTCTGCTTTGGTTAGACCACACCTGGAATATTTTGTCCAATTCTGGGCACCACAATTCAAGAGAGATATTGACAAGCTGGAATGTGTCCAGAGGAGGGCGACTAAAATGATCAAGGGTCTGGAGAACAAGCCCTATGAGGAGCGGCTTAAAGAGCTGTGCATGTTTAGCCTGAAGAAGAGTTGGCACCATTGTTCCCCAGACTTTAAATATTGGGTGCTTTTGTCTGAAATAGGTTGTGATTATCAGGGGTTCTGTGCAGTCATAAAACTCAGGAGTTGGAAGAGACCTTGTGGGCCATCCAGTCCAAACTCCTGCCAAAAAGCAGGAAAATCGCATTCAAAGCACCCCGACAGGTGGCCATCCAGCCTCTGTGTAAAAGCCTCCAAAGAAGTAGCCTCCACCATGCTTCCCGACTGACAGCTGTTCAGCAGTGGAACTCTCTGCCCCAAAGTGTGGTGGAGGCTCCTTTGGAGGCTTTTAAACAGAGGCTGGATAGCTATTTGCTGGAGGTGCTTTGAATGCGATTTTCCTGCTTCTTGGCATGGGGTTGGACTGGATGGCCCACAAGGTCTCTTCCAACTCTAGGATTCTATGATTCCTGTATTTGTCGAACTGACAATGTTAGTTCCCATTAAGGCCCCTTCTACACAGCCATATAATCCAGATTATCAGAGTAGGTAGTCCACATTATCTGCTAGTTTGTGCACTCCGCAGTCTGGTTTGTGTGCATTTCACAATCGTGTTTGTGCATTCCAGAAACCTTGCTTGTGTACTCCAAAAGTCCAATTTGTGCATCCTGCAACCTGACTTGTTCTCAAACCTTCATGTAGAAAATTAAGGAAACTGGGTGCGTAATGTTGGGTAGAGTTGGATTGTAATGTGTACAGATGTTGTGCTTTGCGTTCATGGCACTCTGCAAGTCTGCTGCGTGTGTCTGCATTCCACAAATTGATTTGTGCACTCTGCCGTCGCCTTTGTGCATTCTAGAAATGTGGCTTCCCCATTCCTCCTTATTCTAATTTTCAGGGAAAATTGGATGAGTAATTATGGATAGGGTTGGATTGCAATGTGCAAAAACTATGGTGGTATGTGGCGAGGGCACTCTGCAAATCTGGTTTTTGCATTCCTCAAATTGGTTTGTATAGTTTGCAACCTGGTTTGTGTGTTCCTCCTTATTCTAATCTTCATGATGGGAAACTGTGATCGATATAATGTGCAAAGATGCTGTGTTTTGTGGTGGTGGTCCATCCCTCTTTGTTCCCACTTGTCTTTGCCAAGATTCTGTCTTTCGTGGTGGTCCATCCATCCTTTTTTGTTCCCAGTAGCCTTCTGTGCATTCTTCCTAGTTAAGTCTTGGCTAAAGTCCATTGCCTCTGCTTTTCTTCCCAATTAGTATTCCAGAAGGATCTCTAAAAACGGGCCCATGAATTTCTCAGAGGACGACTCCAGCGAGCTGAGCTGTGTCAGCAGCAATGGGATCCCCAACGGAAATCATTATCCAGTGGCCCTGAGTGGTTATAAAGAATACCAGGTAAAATAGTGTCCCTAATGTGTTGTTATAGGCTTTTTCAGGCTATATGGCCATGTTCTAGAGGCATTCTCTCCTGATGTTTTGCCTGCATCTATGGCAAGCATCCTCAGAGGTAGTGAGACCGCACTACCTCTGAGGATGCTTACCATAAATGCAGGCAAAATGTCAGGAGAGAATGCCTCTAGAACATGGCCATATAGCCCGAAAAAACCTACAACAACCGTGTGATTGTGGCCATGAAAGCCTTCGAAAATACACCTTTCTTTCTTATGCTACTGCGTTCTTAACGGTTAACATTTTTCTGTATATATATATATTTAAATACTGAATAAAGTCTTTATATCATTATTTTTATGTTTTCTTTTCTAAAGTAATCTTTTATTATAGACAGTCTATATGGAATTTCCTTCTCTGTTGGGGTGTTGCCATCAGGTTGGACGGTCTGTCCATGTTAATAATCTCGATCTTAAAAAATTCATTGCCAACATACATGTAAAAAAAAATCACAACAACTACACAATAACATATATGTGCCATCACACCCAGACACTATAAAGTTAAAACTAAGATGTGCTTCTCTCTTTATCTGGGCGAACCGCGGGTGCCTTTCTTAGAAGCTCGAGATTCTCAGCAACTGAGGCCAGTCCAGATTTGAACATGAACAGAACATTTATTTTTCAAAGTCCTTGGCAGACTTGGCACAGCTTGATGAAGTCATAAACAAAACAGTCAGTTTGAGAAACCATACAGATGTTCTTTCTTTCCTTTTTCCTTCAGTTAAAGAGTTAACTTTTCCCCAACGGTAGAAAAATCCTGGGATCTTTTACCCTAACCCTGAGCTGTTATCTTTCAGAAAGAGCAGGTCTTCCCCTATCTAAGCCCAAGATTAGTTTTGGAAATGAAGTAATGGAGCCTCTCTCAATGGCAGAGAAATCCGGAGATATTCCCTGCCCCAGCGCTGAGCTACTGTCCTTTAGAAAGAGCAGGTCTTTCTCTCTCTGAGCTCAGCCCCAGTTTCTAAGGCAAGAGGGTAACCTAAACCTTAACCCTAACCGTAATCACAGTGGCTTGTCCGAGCTGCCTAGCTTGACCACAAGCACATCTGAGGCTTTTTCTATACTAAAGAAGGCAGGAGAGCATTTCCAAAATGGAGATCTCATCCCCAGGAAAAAGGGCGGTCTTTAGACCAAAAGGATACTTTTTTAAACCAATTACTGCAAAAGGCTTGCAGGCTGGCTTCCAGCCTCTGTTAATGTTTGACTATGAGGGTGCTGCTAAGACTGTAGCGACCCTGGGGGGAATGCAAAGGGGTGCTATTTCAAGCAACGAAAGGGCAATGCAAACCAAGCTCCTGGAAGACAGAACAATATAATTAAAAACTAAATTAAAATCACTAAAACAATTGAACATGAGACATAAATAACGTTTAAACAATGATACAACATATAATTCAAAACCTAAATAGGATTAAACATCAAAACTATTAAAAATAAACACTTTAAAAGACCATTAACACCATTTTAAACCAATGCATATACCATATCCTTATGGTATATGAAAGTTGAATTCGGAACAGCCAAGCAGAGGCACGAAAGGGCAGGAAGAGATAGAGCAGCCTGGTTTAGACAACGCAGGTTTTGCAAGAAAGCATTGCTTTAGTTGAGTGGTTTTCAATACAGTTGGGGCCGAGTCTGCAAACAGAGCCAAGGGATCAGAGCCGGGCAGGAGCTTGACCGCCTCTTGAATCTTGACCTCTGGCCTTGGAGGTCAAGAGAGGCCGCCCTGCCCGCATTCCTCGGTAGCGTTTGTTGGTTTAACTAAGTAAACTAAGGGGGAAAGCCTCCAAATTGCACGAGACCGAAAGGTCGTCTATGTAGGGGTACGTTTACACCAGGAATGGGCGAACTTTGGCCCTCCAAGTGTTTTGGACTCCAACTCCCACCATTCCTAACAGCCTCAGGCCCTTTCCTTTTCCCCCTCAGCCGCTTAAGCGGCTTGGCACTATGCCCCCTGTGGCATAGTGCCGGCAGGACTGAAGACCGACAGGTCGCAGGTTCGAATCCGGGGAGAGCGCGGATGAGCTCCCTCTGTCAGCTCCAGCTCCCCCATGCAGGGACATGAGACAAGCTTCCCACAAGGATGGCAAAACATCAGAAACATCCAGCTGTCCCCTGGGCAACGTCCTTGCAGACGGCCAATTCTCTCACATCAGAAGCGACTTGTAGTTTCTCAAGTCGCTCCTGACATGGGGGAAAAAAGAATCTTGGTGGAATGGAATTTGGTGAATCCATCAGCAGGATAAAGACCTTGCAAACTATAACTCCCTGGATTCATTGTAAATAATTAATTCTAATACTAAGTGTACATGCAGCATCGGGCAGCGGAGGAAAATATGAGATTTTTGTTGTGTGCCTTCAGGCAATCCTACCTTGAAAAGAAGATGAAGATGATTATATTTATTTATACCCCAAGGAGAATCAGAGCGTCTTAACATGAAAGCATTTGCATACAATTTAAAATATGCAATTATGCAAAACAGAATTAAATACAGTAACGGTAAAGGTTTCCCCGTGACATTAAGTCTAGTCGTGCCCAACTCTGGGGGTGTTACTCATCTCCATTTCTGAGCCAAAGAGCCGGCGTTGTCCGTAGATGCCTCCAAGATCATGTGGCCAGCATGACTGCATGGAGCGTCGTTACCTTCCCGCAGAAGCAGTAGTTCCTATTGATCTACTCACCTTTGCATATTTTCGAACTGCTAGGTTGACAGAAGCTGGGGCTAACAGCGGAAGCTCACCCCGCTCCCCGGATTCAAACCATTGACCTTCCGGTCAGCAAGTTCCGCAGCTCAAGAGTTTAACCCGCTGCGCCAACAAGGGGACAAATTAAATATAAACAGTATAATGTTTTTTGGCTTCGTACTGTTTTTATACTATTTGCTAAATATTTTTAATAGTATTTATGACTGTTTTAATTGTCTTTTAATTGTGGTATCGACTAGTTGCAGACTGAACCGCCTTGAGTCGCCTCTGGGCTGAGAAAGGCGATATACAAATATGGTAAATAATAATAAGCCCATGACGAATAGTGTTAAATATTTGCAATTCGAGGATGGTGATAATTATGATTGCGATGGCGATGTTGATGTTCCCTTTCATCTCCGTTTGGTTTACAGGACGGGAAACGTTTCCAAATGGGGGAGCTGGTCTGGGGAAAGATCCGGGGCTTTGCTTGGTGGCCGGCCATCATCGTCTCCTGGAAGGCCACTTCCAACCGGCCGGCGGCTCCTGGCATGCGGTGGGTCAAATGGTTCGGCGACGGGATGTTTTCAGAGGTCAGTGGAAGAGTTTTTCCTATTATGAGTAAGAAATAATGTGGACAGTAGAAACATAGAGTTGGAAGAAACCTGGTGGGCCATCCAGTCCCAACCCATTTTGCCAAGAAGCAGGAAAATTGCATTTAAAGCCCCCCAGACAGATGGCCATCCAGCCTCTGTTTAAAAGCCTCCAAGGAAGGAGTCTCCACCACACTTTTCAGTATTACCTGTTCCTCCTAGTTGGTGGCATGACTTGTGGAAAGAACCAAAGTTTAGTGTTCGTTTACATCAGGCATGAGCAAACCTCGGCCTTCCGTCCAGGTGTTTTGGACTTCAATTCCAGCAATTGTGGGAGTTGACGTCCAAAACACCTGGAGGGTCAAAGTTTGCCCATACCTGACTTACAGTATAGAAATAATGTAGTTTGACCCTGCTTTAACTGCAATGGTTCAGTGCTATAGGATGACGAGAGTTGTAGTTTTACAAGGTCCTTAGACTTCTCTGCCAAAAAGTGGAGCCTTGGCAGTTAAAGTGGTGTCAAACTTCATTTAAGTCAACAGTATAGATACACCTATAAAGTCCTAAGGAAGACTAAGACTATTCCTAGAATATCCATGTTATGCCGTCGCTGCCTGGGGGCTGTAGTTCTTAGTGAAAGAAACCTGGATGTGACATCTTTTCCCCAGGGGATTGCTTCTTGCCTTCCTTTAGAGAACTGGAACTCTCAAGGATCAAGACACTATAGATAACTCAAAATAGACTTTATTGTTCACAAAGAGTTATCTTCCTTAGGCATAAACTTGATGTTTCAAAAGGGGTAAAGAAAATATACATTACAGTCTCTGGAGTCTTGGGTCCTAGTTCCCTCTTTCTCAATGGCTGTGAAGTCAAAACATTCACAACCCCAGTCCAATGATCTATATTGAAGGCACAAAGTCTCCCTCTTGATGCCAAAGGACTGGTTTGAAGGCACTTAAGATTCCTCAACGTCGTCCAGGTGAGCTGGGCATGAAGTATGAATCTTAAGAGTACAAACTTAAGAATTGGTGATAAGAGATGACTTGACTGAGGTCTTAGAGCCAAGTCTTTCTCATGACCATCTGTTGAGTTGTTTGATGGTGGAATGAAAAAGGAAGCACTGCCCTCCTCCCTAGGAAGGGGTGGAGTCAAGCAATTAAGCTGGGGGAGCAATTCAACTGATGCAAAACAACATTGATAGAAAGCTGTAGATAACCAAACAATTTAACAATATATTTACATACAAGTGGGGCCAGACGCGCCGTCACACATGTTTTGTCCAAAGCTGTTTATCTCTCTATTTGTGTTTTTAATAAGAAATATCCAGGTTGGCTGAATTATACAGAGCAGCTAGAACAGTTGTTGTTGTTGTTGGAAATATCCAGGTTGGCTGCATCATACAGAGCAGCTAGAACAGTAGTAGTAGTAGTAGTAGTAGTAGTAGTAGTAGTAGTAGTAGCAGCAGCAGCAGCAGCAGCAGCAGCAGCAGCTAGAAATATCCAGGCTGGCTGAATTATACAGAGCAGCTAGAACTGTTCTGGTTGTTGTTGTTAGAAATATCCAGGTTGGCTGAATAATACAGAGCAGCTAGAACAGTTGTTGTTGTTGTTAGAAATATCCAGGTTGGCTGAATTATACAGAGAAGCTAGAACTATTGTTAGAAATATCCAGGTTGGCTGAATAATACAGAGCAGCTAGAACTGTTGTTGTTGTTGTTAGAAATATCCAGGTTGGCTGAATTATACAGAGCAGCTGGAACCATTGTCATGCGCTTTTTCTGCATTGCATTAATTCAGCAATGTTTTCCTTTCTTCTCCAGGTCTCTGCTGACAAATTGGTGGGCTTGGTGAATTTCCAAGACCATTTCAACTCTTCCACATTTCGGAAGATGGCTTCCTACCGACAAGCCATTCTCCATGTTTTGGAGGTAAGAGGCAAAAGAGTGAAAAAATTGTGAGATGGTGGTGAGTGAGAACTTGGCAAAAATCCGGGCGGAAGCCAGAGCGACATACAGGGAACATACCACCCCTCTGTTCTGGCGCAACTTACCTGTCCGAACGTATCTCCCTCTACGTCCTGCCTCAGAATTTAAGATCGTCCGGGGAGTCCCTGCTCTCCATCCCACCACATAGGGTTACCTCACATTGTGGTTACCTCACATTGGTGCCAACAGATTTTAGATGTTCTTTTTTGTTCAATGTATTGTCGAAGGCTTTCATGGCCGGAATCACTGGGTTGTTGTAGGTTTTTTCGGGCTATATGGCCATGGTCTAGAGGCATTCTCTCCTGACATTTCGCCTGCATCTATGGCAAGCATCCTCAGAGGTAGTGAGGTCTGTTGGAACTAGGAAAATGGGTTTATATATCTGTGGAATGACCAGGGTGAGACAAAGGACTCTTGTCTGCTGGAGCTAGGTGTGAATATTTCAACTGACCACCTTGATTAGCATATAATGGCCTGACAGTGCCTGGAGCAAACTTTTGTTGAGAGGTGATTAGATGTCCTTTTTCCTCTCTGTTGTTGTGCTGTTGTAATTTTAGAGTTTTTAATACTGGTAGCCAGATTTTGTTCATTTTCATGGTTTCCTCCTTTCTGTTGAAATTGTCCACATGCTTCTTGTGGATTTCAGTGGCTTCTCTGTGTAGTCTGACATGGTGGTTGTGAGAGTGGTCCAGCATTTCTGTGTTCTCAAATAATATGCTGTGTCCAGGTTGGTTCATCAGGTGCTCTGCTATGGCTGATTTCTCTGCTTGAAGTAGTCTGCAGTGCCTTTCATGTTCCTTGATTCGTGTTTGAAATACACAAGCATGTGGACAATTTCAACAGAAAGGAGGAAACCATGAAAATGAACAAAATCTGGCTACCAGTATTTAAAAAAACTCTAAAATTGCAACAGCACAACAACAGAGAGGAAGCAGGCAGGGACATCTAATTACCTCTCAACAAAAGTTTGCTCCAGGCACTGCCAGGCCAATCAAATGCTAATCAAGGTGGTCAGTTGAAACATTCACACCTAGCTCCAGCAGACAAGAGTCCTTTGTCTCACCCTGGTCATTCCACAGATATATAAACCCATTTTCCTAGTTCCAACAGACCTCACTACCTCTGAGGATGCTTGCCATAGATGCAGGCTAAACGTCAGGAGAGAATGCCTCTAGACCATGGCCATATAGCCCGAAAAACCTACAACAACCCAGTTCTTTTTTGTTATATGGGTCATTTGCTGGGGGATCCTGGGCAATTTCATCAGTATCCAGGTTGTGTGTTTGTTTGTGTGATGCTTTGGTAAGAATGGCTCTTCCTGGCAGGTGGCAAGCAGCCGATCTGGCAAGACCTTTCCGAGCAACGCAGGGGACTCCATTGAAGAGAAGCTGAAGCCCATGGTGGATTGGGCCCTCAATGGCTTCAAACCCACCGGGGGCAAAGGACTGAAGCCACCCAAGATGGCAGGTGTGCAGTTCACTTTATTGAAATCTTAGTGTCAGGGTGTTCTAGTATATAAGTGTAATCCCTTTCCCTGCAGTTTGAATCCATTGCTCCATTGTGTCCTAGTCTCAGGAGCAGCAGAAGAGAAGGTTGCTCCTCCTCAAAACACCTGGCGGGAGGGCCGAAGTTGGCCCATACTTGCTCTAGTAAATGTGGGTCGTTTATGTTGGTTGCTAACGCCCGCTGCCCTTTTCCGTAGCAGAGGATGTTGAGCAAGAAGATAGCAGCGTGGAAGAGGTGGTCATCACTGAACCAGCCCCACCACCAAAGCGGGTCAAGACAGCCGTCTGCAATGGGAACGGGAAGGAGCAGGCGGAGGAGAACCAAAGCAGAGGTAACGGATGTGTCTAAGCGTGTTTGTGTCTATTGCTGCTGTTGCTCCATCCTCCTTTCTTTGCTTTCATGGAATGGATGGTCTTGGATTCTCCATTTTTGGAAGGCTTTCATCAGATGGATGATGGCATCTTTTAGGGATATGCTGTAATTGGCATATTCCTACATGGCACAAGGTGGACTAGATGACCCTTGTCATTCTGTGATCCCCTGGCTCTTGTCTGACAGGACAATGGAATGAAACTGAAAGTATAATATATGTCTCAGGGTATATGTCCCAGGCTTTGTATTGATATGTTGTTGTTGTTTTTGCTTGTGTCAGGAGAGACTTGAGAATCTGCAAGTCACTTCTGGTTTGAGAGAATTGGCCGTCTGCAAGGACGTTGCTCAGGGGACGCCCAGATGATTTGATGTTTTATCATCCTTGTGGGAGGCTTCTCTCATGTCCCCGCATGAGGAGCTGGAGCTGGTAGAGGGAGCTCTCCACCTCTCCCCGGATTTGAACCTGTGACCTGTCGGTCTTCAGTCCTGCCGACAGGGATTTAACCCACTGCGCCACCGGGAACTCCGGTGGCGCACATGGATATGTGAACCCTATGGATAAGGGCAGATCTTAATCATTACAGTGCAAGGTACAATAATGATGATTTTATTTATCGTGTCAGGAGTGAACCAAAACAGTTGTATTGCATAAAAAAAAACGCACACACAAACAAACAAAACAAAAAGTTTGCAGACTTGGTATTCTATTAAATGTCCTTTGACCAGTATCTGGCCCCTTGGAGTGCCTCTGGTGTTGCTGCAAGAAGGTCCTCCATTGTGCATGTGGCAGGGCTCAGGTTGCATTGCAGCAGGTGATCAGTGGTTTGCTCTTCTCCGCACTCGCATGTCATGGACTCCAGTTTGTGGCCCCATTTTTTAAGGTTGGCTCTTCATCTCGTGGTGCCAGATTGCAGTCTGTTCAACAACTTCCAAGTCGCCCAGTCTTCTGTGTGCCCAGGGGGGAGTCTCTCATTTGGTATCAGCCATTGCTTGAGGTTCTGAGTTTGAGCCTGCCACTTTTGGACTCTCGCTTGCTGGGGTATTCCAGCAAGTGTCTCTGTAGATCTTAGAAAACTGTTTCTTGATTTAAGTCGTTGACGTGCTGGCTGATGCCTAAACAGGGGATGAGCTGGAGATGTCACTGCCTTGGTCCTTTCACTATTGGTTGCTGATTCCACAGCAAGCTGGCTTCAGGAAGGGCAAAAGCTGCACATCGCAAGTGCTGAACCTGACTCAGCACATAGAAGATGGCTTTGAAAGGCAGCAGATCACAGGAGCTGTCTTCATAGACCTGTCAGCGGCTCATGATACTGTAAACCACCGCCTCCTCCTGAGAAAAATGTATAATATCACAAAGGACTACCATCTCACCCGCCTCATAGGAAATCTGCTACAAAACAGGAGCTTTTTTGTTGAGTTCCAGGGCCAGAGAATCAGATGGCGGAAACAGAAGAACGGCCTGCCTCAGGGGAGCGTGCTTGCTCCATCCATGTTCAACATTTATACAAATGACCAGCCACTGCCAGAAGGCACAGAGCGCTTCATCTATGCTGATGATCGTGCCATCACTGCTCAAGCAGGGAGCTTTGAGATGGTTGAACAGAAGCTCTCCGAAGCTCTCTGTGCTCTTACTGCCTACTACAGGGAAAACCAGCTGATCCCTAATTCATCTAAAACACAAACATGTGCTTTTCATCTTAAGAACAGACAAGCATCCCGAGCTCTGAATATCATCTCGGAATGAATCCCACTGGAGCATTGCAGCACACCCAAATACCTGGGAGTCACTCTGGACCGTGCTCTGACCTACAAGAAGCACTGCCTGAATATTGAGCAAAACGTGGGTGCTAGAAACAATATCATGCGAAAGCTGACTGGCACAACCTGGGGATCACAACCAGACACAGTGAAGACATCTGCCCTTGTGCTTTGCTACTCTGCTGCTGAGTATGCATGCCCAGTGTGGAACACATCTCGCCACGCTAAAATAGTGGATGTGGCTCTTAATGAGACATGGTGCATTATCACAGAGTGTCTGTGCCCTGCACCACTGGAGAAATTACACTGTTTAGTCAGTGTTGCACCGATGATGATGATGATGATGATGATGATCATAACAACAACAACAATAACAAAACTTTATTTATATTCCGCCCTTCTCACCTGAAGGGGACTCTGGGTGGATCACAGTACGTATACACTGGGAACATTCAATGCTGCTTTATATAGACAATACACAGACAGACGGAGGTGGTTTGTTTTGACTCAAGTTTCCAGCTATTTTTGTTGCCCTGGAAGGTTGGGCTCAAGTCCAGGGGGTGCTGTCGCTCCATCCTCTATGATGAAGAGCTGCCAGTACTTCCTCCTTCCTTTTGGTCGCACAGCAATTTCTGATCTTCTTTCTTTATGCCGTCGTAAAACACCTTCCCTGCTTTTAGCGGTACCTAATTTCTCTAATTACAGCTAAAGCTGTTTTCTAATTGCTTAGTTAAACAATGAGCTAGGCTGACAGTCAGCAGTTCACGCTGACCCGGGGCTTCGAATCCTTTTGGTTGATAGATCTTATAATTGTTGGTGATTTACCCGCTGTGCTAAACCTTCGTACAAGTAACAATGAGAATGTTACTTGTACAAGAGTCCCTAAGTAAATAAGTAAAAGAGTGGAGAGGAAGTGTATAGATCACTTCCATCGATCCAGCAGTTGTACTGTCCTTGCAACATGGCACATTACTTGCACAGCAGTCCCACTTTCTGGAGACAAGGTCTGTGGTCTTTGCTCATTTTCCTTCTCACCAATTTCTTTCCAGAGCGGATGCTTTCTGAAGTCAAGAATAACAAGAAGAGCCTTGAAGGTAAAGTGGCCCTTTGGCATCTCTCCCTCTTCCTCTCTATCTTGTTGTTGTTGTTATTTGAAACACAACAAGATGAGTCCACAGCAGATACTCTGCTGGCTATTGAATTGGATCACACATTGGACACTTCCCAATAATAATGCGTGCAGAACCCAGTAAGGTGGCCTTTTGCAGCTGGCAGATGGTCATTTTGTCAGCGCCAATTGTATTTAAGTGCAGGCCAAGGTCTTTAGGCACTGCACCCAGTGTGCCCATCACCACTGACACCACCTTGACTGGCTTGTGCCAGAGTGTGCCCAGTGATTCTGGCTGTGAAAGCCTTCGACAATACATCGGTTGAATGGGTTGAGACTCAAGGAGATATTAATTGAAAAAACTATAGCAAAATGTGCTGCAGGATGTCCTGCAAAAAGTTTTGGCAGTTTAATAAACTTTTACCATGTTTTTTTGGGATAGAACCAATTCGAAACTGACATTTATAACCCAGGAATAAAAACCATGTTACCATGTGCTATCACTGTTGTGCAGGGGAATGCTGGTTTGGGAAAAGTTGCCTTAAAAATGAGAATTAGAAACCAATTGACCTGTTATTTGCTTACGGAACAGATAGCTGCCTATCTTGCGGCAAGAACAACTCGGTGATTTTCCACCCACTGTTTGAAGGGGGTCTCTGCACAACTTGCCAGGTGAGTGGCCTGAGTGTATAATTCCCATTCATTCCAGAAAAGGAACTCGAGATGGAGCTGGGAATGGGAGCATGAGAATTCACTATATTGCATTGTCTTTTTTTAACACTTCAGAAAAGGTATGTATTTGTATAACTGTATGTCCTTCTAAAATATCTAAATAACAAGGCTTACAATAATTTTCTGTCCAAATTAGAAAGTACTATTAAATCAATTATCTAAGGTCTCTAGAGTGTCTTAAATACAGAATGTGATGACAGTACACAATGCATCTATATAGAGTTTGTGTTATTTTTGTTGCAACTCAGAGTAAGCTTTGCCTTGCTCCCAAACACCACCACAGAGCTGTAGAATTTTGTAGTTTATTGAGAGAAATCCAAATCAAAATATAGAATAAGCAATGCAGAGTTCCAAAGACATAGGTTAAATGCAGAATACAGTTCTAAATGTCTTCAGGCAAAAACAAAAGACAAAATCCTTTAAGCATAAGTCAAGACAGAGTCCATGGTAAAAGCAGTGAAACACAAGCCCCAAGAATCACAATGCAGGAAGCCCAAAGCGTGCTGCTTTAGAGCCAAGGTTATTCTATGAAGCTTTCAGGCTAACAAGCCACGTTGAACTGACACTTTCCCTTCGTTAACTAGAAGCCTAAATACTAGGGCTGGGCGGTTTCGTTTCGCAATTTCGTAATTTGTTAAAAATTCGTTATTTTTTTTTAATAACGAAGCGATATTGAACCATTCAGGAGCATCTTAAAAACGAAACGAATTTTTCAATTCGTTTCGTAATTGCTTCGTATTCGTTTCGTATTCGTTTCGAAATTGTTTCGAAATCTTTTCGTTATTATTTCCGCATGCCTGGGGCAAGTTTTATAGCTGTTGTTTGTTTAATCAGTGAAAAAAAATTATAAATATCACACCAACAGTCAACAACAGAGGGAGAGGGAAGCTTCAGAAGTTCCCCCTGTCCCATATGGAGGTTTTTTAGTGTATTGCGCGGTCGCGTCCGCCATTAACGATTCGTATTCGTTTCGTATTGTTTCGTAATTTTGCAAAATTTCGTAAATATCAAACTTTTCAAAAGAAAAATTTCAGAATTCTTTTAAATATCGAAACGCAAAAAACCCCAAAAAACGAATCGAGTTTAGAAACAATTTTTTCCGTGGTTGCCCAGCCCTACTAAATACCTTTTGCTAACATGAAAACATTATGCTCTCACCAACATGAAAGCATTGCGATTACCTTTCCCCAAACTGGCTTCTGCTGGCTAGGCGTGAACTCCTCCTGACCCGCAAATCTAGGGGTGCTTGCCGGGTCAGGTCAATATCAAGGCTTTCTGCACTATCACTATCGCCGTGGGAAGGCAAAGGCCTCTTCAACTGTTCGTTATCTAGTTCATTGGCATTCCTTTCTTCTGAGAACTGCTTTGTTGACTCTCCAGCTGCACTATCTGCACTGTCTGTTGGAGCCTCAGAAAAAGACATAGGAACAGGCCCAGGAATCTGTGGCACAGAAAAAGTGCCAGGAATCTGAATCCCATCATCCTCATCATCAGAGGACATCTCAGGCTCAGAATCACGCTGAACCATGACAATTTTAGTCCACAAATCCTACTGTGCTCATCTTCCTCTGGTTTCCCATGAAGTCAATGAAGGGTTTCCATTCTTCTTGAAGCTTCTGTGTGTATTCGTTTGTGTTGGCATATTTTGTTGTTCCCATAGTTTTGCATATTCAATTCTTGCTGTTGTTGTCATATAGAGAAAAAAAATTTCTCGATGTTTCAATATTTGATTGTCCTTATCCTTATTCTTTAGGACCGGTTCCTAGAGTATTTCTACATGTATGATGAAGACGGGTACCAGACCTACTGCAGCATCTGCTGCGAGGGAACCGAGCTGCTCCTTTGCGACAATGCCAGCTGTTTCAGGTGGGCAGACCCTTTTGCCTGCCTCTGCACCTTCTCACTTGCACCTTATGTATTTAAGTCATGTATTTATTTTTTGCGAACCGAGTCCTCTCCCTTGCTAATGTTGAACTGAGTCATTGATCTTGCAACTGAGTTTTGTTTATATTTTGTTTCCATGGGTGCATTTACAAATGAATGCAGTGTTCACCACTTTAATTAAGAAATTAAAATATTGAAATTCAAGGCAATTTTTTTTAAAAATTGACCGTAAAGTAAACTTATTTGCAGATGATGTTTCGTTATTTGTATCAAACCCAGCGCAATGTTTAGAGCAGCTAGAAAAGTTCTAGATATATACCCGACTCAATAATATACCTTCCATGGCTCAAAGCTATGGATTCCTGAGAGTTGTAGTTTTGCAAGGTATTTAGGCATCTCTGCCAAAGACTGCTGGTATCTCACCAAACAACAACTCCCAGGATTCCATAGCACTGAGCCACAGCAGTTAAAGTATGGTCAACCTGCATTTATTCTACAGTGAATGGACTCCCAGGAGTTGTAGTTTCTAAGATCTTGAGCCTTCTCTGATAAAGATTGCTGGTTCTTCACGAAACTACAACTTACAGGACCCCACACATGCTTCACCAAACTACAACTCTCAGAATTCCATAGCACTGAGCCAGGGCAATTAAATCACATTAGTTGCCCACAATATGAGTAGATGAATAGGTACTGCTCTGGCGGGAAGGTAATGGCGTTCCATGCAGTCATGCCGGCCACATGACCTTTGAGGTGTCTATGGACAATGCCGGCTCTTCGGCTTAGAAATGGAGATGAGCACCATACCCCAGAGTCAGACACGACTGGACTTAATGTCAGGGGAAGACCTTTACCTTTACCTTAATGGCCATGGCTCAATGTTTTCGAATCCCAGGAGATGTAGTTTTTGCAAAGTCATTTTGCAAAGTCCCTCTTTCCCAAAAGAGTGTGCACAAATCACAATGCCCATGTTTCCATAGCACTGAGCAATGGGAATTAAAAGTTGTGCCAAACGCCGATGCCGATGGAATGAATTTTGCTAAGGATGGAAGGTGAGTCCGTCGTTTCCAACCCTGTTTCCTTCTTGCGGCAGGTGCTTCTGCGTGGACTGCTTGAATACCTTGGTGGGCCGAGGAGCGGCGGATGCAGCCCGGGAAGAGGAGCCTTGGAGCTGCTTCATGTGCCAGCCTCAGAAGCAGCACGGCTTGCTGCAGCGGCGGCACGACTGGAACACGCGCCTGAAGGAGTTCTTCACCAATGAAAGGGGGCAGGAATATGTAAGTTGTTGTGCCGTCGCGCCTGGGGGCTATAGCTCTTAGTGAAAGAGGCATGGACGTGACATCTTTCCCCAGAGGATTGCTTCTTGCCCTCCTTTAGGAAACTGGAACTCCCAAAGACCCAAACACTGTAGATAACTCAATATAACTTTTATTGTTCACAAAGAGTTATCTCTTTAAGGCAATAAGCTGGAAGTTTCAAAGGGGGGAAGGAAAATGTACATTACAGTCTCTGGTTGCCTTGGGTCCAAGAAGGTTTGAAGCTGAGAAGCTTTTCCAGGTCCCTCTTTCTCAATGGCTGTAAATGCCAGAGCAGTCCACAACCCCAGTCCAGATGGCCTATGTTTGAAGACAAAGGGTCTTCTTCTGGTGCCAAAAGAACTGGTCTGAAGGCGCTTGAGACTTCCCGACGTTGTTCAGGTTGGTCTGAACATGAAGCATAAGTCTCAAGGGTAAAAACCTCAGAATTGGTGCTGAGAGGTAATTTAATCAGGGGTTTTAGAGCCAAGTCTTTTACTCACGTCCATCTGATAGAAACTCTGATGGTGGAATGAAAAAGGGAAGCGCTCCCCTCCTCCAGGAAGAGGTGGAGCCAAACAGTTGAACTGAAAAAGCAATTCACCTGGTGCAAACAACACTGATTGATAGCTATAAATCGCCAATCAATCCAACTATACATAAGCAGGGTAAAAAGGCAGGATTAAGCATGATACAACAGTTTACATCTTGCAACTAACAGTTCTACACATAGGTGGCACCACTCGCGCCGTCACAGTTATAGACTGGGGATTGTAGTTCAAGGCACGGGCAAACTTTGGCCCTCTCTCCAGGTGCTTTGGATTTCAACTCCCACAATTCCTAACAGCTGGTAGGCTGTTAGGAATTGTGAGAGTTGAAGTCCAAAACACCTGGAGAGAGGGCCAAAGTTTGCCCATGCCAGGTGTCAAGCTAGAACACTCAGGATGGTGTCGATGGGTGATAGTGATGATATGTTTCTCTTTTCTCCTGCTTTTTCATCATAGGAGGCACCCAAAATCTACCCTGCCATCCCAGCAGCCAAGCGGCGGCCAATTAGAGTCCTTTCTCTCTTTGATGGTATCGCTACAGGTAAGACTGCCTGCAGAGAATTTACCTCCAGATCAAAAAGGTCACATGCTACAGGGATCTAGGTTTGGAATTCTGACAATTGACAGGACTAACCTGTCAATTGGTGTCACAGCTTTCGGTCCAAGGGGTCGCTATCAAATATATGATGCAGGTTAAGCAGGTAAAGTCCTTGAAGGACTAGAGGAACCTTAGGGATGGGTCACCCTAAAGCAGTGCTTCTCAACTATCCTAATGTCACGACCACTTAATACAGTTCCTCATGTTGTGGTGACCCCCAACCATAACATTATTTTCGTTGCTACTTCATAACTGGAATTGAACCAAACTTGGCACACAGAAGTCCCATGACCAACAGAAAATACTGGAAGGATTTGTTGGGCATTGACCTTGAGTTTTGGAGTTGTAGTTTACCAACCTGCAGAGAGCACTGTGGACTCAAACAATAATGGATCTGGACCAAACTTGGCAAATGTAAACAGTGGGGGAATTTGGGGAAAATAGATAATGACATTTGGGAGTTGTAGTTGCTGGGATTTATAGTTCACCTACAATCAAAGAGCATTCTGAACTCCCAACGATAGAATTAAGCCAAATTTCTACACAGAACTCCCATGACCAATAGAAAATACTGTGTCTTCTGGTGGTCTTTGGCGACCCCTCTGACACCCTCCTCGCAGCCCCCAGGTAAAAAAATGTCCAGCATCTTTTTCCATCTCTGGTTATCCAGATTATTCTTGGAAGTCATGTGTGAGACATCAAGTCTTGACAGTGTTCTTACCCATTTGCTGTTCAAAGCCATGCAGCCATCACTTCACATTTGCTTGGGTTAGGGATGCAAAACTTCCATAGAAGTGAAAAATGTCAGAGTAAAGTTTACTTGGAAACTAGACATTTTTGTGTAAGGTCTTTGTTTATTTGTATTTTTGCAGGTTGCTTCGAATAAATTGTCTTAATAGCATTTGTAAAATTTTCACCACATTCTATCATCTGTAGTCGTTCATCTGTAGAAGTCCGGGAAATATTATCAAAAGCCTTCTCTACATCCAAAAACATTAGTGCACCTTGTCGTTCGTTATGTCTTTGTAGATGTTCCAAAGCATTTAGGACTATTCCTTAATTGTCTTTCATTTGTCTATCTGGTAGAAATCCCACTTGGTGTTCATGCATCCAAGTTTTTAATATCTTCTTAAGTCTTATCTGCCAATATACTTGGAATAAATTTTGTAATCCACATTTAGCAATGAAATTGGTCTGTAATTTTGTACTAGGGTGTTGTCTCTATCTTCTTTGGGAATTAATATTATTGTGATTTCTTTCCACAATTCTGGTATTTGTTTTGTTTGAATATATACGTTGATTAAACAAATCAGGGTTGGTGTTAGGGTTCACTGGAAAATAAATGTCCTCAGAAAGATTCCATGTTCAGAAACAGAGGTTGGATTGCCATCTCTTGGGGGTAACTGGATTGTCCCTTCCTGCCTGGCAGAAGGGGATTGGACTGGATGGTCTTCATGGTCCCTTCTAACACCGTGGCTTTAACCTTTAGGCTATTTGGTACTGCGGGAACTGGGCATCAAGGTGGAGAAATACGTCGCCTCAGAGATCTGTGAAGACTCCATAGCCGTGGGGACCGTGCGGCATGAAGGGAACATCACCTACGTCCACGATGTCAGGAACATCACCAAGAGAAACGTAAGGAAACACATGAGTGCACCTAAACATCTGGCTTGGAAATGATATCTGGCGGAGTTGGTGGCACTAAAAGTTCTGTGTTGCAAACGTCCTGGCCCTTGTCCTGGCAGTGGGCAACTTCTGGAGTTTCCAATACCCATGACCCCATCCACGCTGCCATGTAATGCGGTTAGATATTGCATTATTATGGTCAGAGCAAATGTTAAGCTTTCCAAACGGTTTATGTTGGTGATGCACTTTTTAGACGTGCATCATTTCACGTCATAGCAATTCAGTTTTACTAGCAAACCGGAAGTTAAACCAACCCTTTACAAGAGATACCAACACAGACATGCATGGCAATAATGACTTTTTATGGGAACACCGCATCACTTATGAAAACTTCTCATTTTGAAAAATATATGATTTGTAAGATAATTTATAATATTTTTGTCATTTTGCATTACATTTGTGTGCAACATCTGCAGCTAACACACTTATGTGCTGTAATACATAGTTTATTTATTATTTACAGCTTTTATATTCCGCCCTTCTCACCCCGCAGGGGACTCAGGGCGGATTTCAGTGTACACATATATGGCAAACATTCAATGCCAATTTTGACTTACAACATATACAGACATACACAGAGGCTATTTAACTTTTTCTGGATGCCAGGGGAGCTGTCACTTTCCTCGTCCATCTGCGACGCTGATGAAGCACTTCCGCATTCCCCGCATGCTTCCCCGCTGGAATGCTTTGCTGGAGTCTTCTTTATGGCCTCATAAATCAGTTAATTTAGCCTCCCCACACTTTAAGGTGGTACCTAATTTTCCTACTTGACAGATGCAACTGTCTTTCGGGTTGCAAAGGTCGACAACAGGTTACATACAATTGGTTGGAAACCCACTCCAACCTGGGCTGGCTTTGAACTCATGACCTTTTGTCAGAGTGATCTTAATGCAGCTGACACTCAGCCAGCTGCGCCACAATCCCGGTGCTTGGAAAGCTCTGGTTTACACTGTAGTTTCAAACTGCATTATATGGCAATGTAGATGGGACCACAATTTTTGTCTCCGGGCCCACTTGGAAGGACTTAAGGATGGACTTTTTTTGTGTGTGTCAGGAGTGACTTGAGAAACTGCAAGTTGCTTCTGGTGTGAGAGAATTGGCTGTCTGCAAGGATGTTGCCCAGGGGACGCCCGGATGATTTGATGTTATATCATTCTTGTGGGAGGCTTCTCTCATGTCCCCGCATGAGGAGCTGGAGTTGACAGAGGGAGCTCATCCGTGCTCTCCCTGGATTCGAACCTGCGACCTGTCGGTCTTCAGTCCTGCTGGCACAAGGGTTTAACCCACTGCGCCACCGGGAGCTCCTGATGGATGGACTGAGAAACCAACAAACAGACCAACAAGCAAAACTCAAGTCTATTTGTGTTCTTTTAAAGACGTAGAACAACACAGCTTGTTTTCTCTTTGGCATTCTGGCATTTTGGGGTTGCAAAAAGGGATGCCTATGAATGTTGAAAGGAACCTGGGGAGAAATAAATAGTTTTGGGGACAGAGGTGGAGGAGAGAAATGAAAGATGAGTTCTCAGATTGGGAACCTGGTTTTGTCAAGCACTTTGTATCTGAAATGTGGAGTAAAAAACAAATGGAGACATGAAAGGTGTCACTTTGCATTGGAACAGCTTCAAATCTTTCCCAATCCTTCTGTCCTTATAGATCGATGAATGGGGTCCGTTTGATATGGTGATCGGTGGAAGCCCTTGCAACGACCTCTCCATTGTGAATCCTGCCAGGAAGGGCTTGTATGGTAAGCTGTGTCCATAACCAAATGGGGACTCTGCTAATATTGAGTTTGGGTGTTTTGTTAGATTGCCTAAAAGTGCATCTACATTGGGTTGTTGTAGGTTTTTTCAGGCTATATGGCCATGTTCTAAAGGCATTTTCTCCTGACGTTTCGCCTGCATCTATAGCAAGCATCCTCAGAGGTAGTGAGGATGCTTGCCATAGATGCAGGCGAAACGTCAGGAGAAAATGCCTTTAGAACATGGCCATATAGCCTGAAAAAACCTACAACAATCCAGTGATTCCGGCCATGAAAGCCTTCGACAATACATTGCATCTACATTGTTGAATTAATACAGCTTGATACCACTTGAACTGCCATGGCTCAGTGCTATGGAATCCTGGGAGTTGTAGTTTGGTGAAGCACCAGCACTCTTTGGAAGAGTGATGACTTTGTCAAACCGCATTTCACATGATCTGTAGCATTGAGCCATGATGCTGAAAGTGTTCTCAAACTGCATTCAGTCTACAGTATAGATGCACCCTAAGTTACTCTGTTTGAGCTTCATCTTTCTCTCCTTTCCTGCAGAGGGGACTGGGCGCCTTTTCTTTGAATTCTACCACTTGCTCAACTATTCGCGCCCCAAACCCGAAGAAGAGCGCCCCTTTTTCTGGCTGTTTGAGAATGTCGTCGCCATGAGGGTCAACGACAAGAGGGACATCTCCCGTTTTCTGGAGGTTTGTTGTTTTGTTATTTATTTATTCATTCAGTCATTTCTGACTCTTCGTGACTTCATGGATCAGTCCACGCCAGAGCTCCCTGTCGGCCGTCACCACCCCCAGCTCCTTCAAGGTCAATCCAGTCACTTCAAGGATCCCATCCATCCATCCTGCCCTTGGTCTTCCTTTTCCCTTCCATTTTCCCCAGCATCATTGTCTTCTCTAAGCTTTCCTTTCTTCTCATGATGTGGCCAAAGGACTTCATCTTGGCCTCTATGTCTTCTGGAGGTAAGAAGACATAAAATAAAAAGCAGTCGTATGGATTACTCCACTGTCCCTGTTGCAAAAAGAGCATATTTTCATGATCTCTGCGATTTCTTGTTGGGAGCTTCCAGCTGTAAAACAGTTGCCAAGCCTGTTTTGAAGTGACATGACTGTAGTAAACCCAAGTACTAAGACTGCAAATACTGTACACTGTGGAATTAATGCAGTTTGACACCACTAACTACCATGGCTCTATGCTATGTAACACGCATGGATCAACCATGGCCCTTCAGGTGTTTTGGACTCCAACTCCCACAATTCCTAACAGCCTACAGTCTGTTAGGAATTGAAGGAGTTGAAGTCCAAAACACCTGGAGGGATGAAGTTTTCCCATACCTGATGTAACACTTCTAACAATATTTTTGACTTCTCTTTCACCATATATACTTCTTTTATTGTAGTGTAACCCAGTAATGATCGACGCCATAAAGGTCTCCGCTGCACACAGGGCACGGTATTTCTGGGGCAACCTGCCTGGCATGAACAGGTAATCTGGGATACATCATTATTCTATCTATTTTCCATCTCTCCTATCATTGTGGCTGGGATCTTTTTGGTGATATGCACTGATAGTTGTATCCCAGCCGCCAGGCCCTCCAGGGAGATAGGGAAGAATATAAATAAAGTATTATTATTGTTATGAATAACTTTCCCACATTGGAAAAGAATATCCCACTTCTGACACCAATTATGTCATGAATGACTTTTCAGTGACCTTAAAACACAGGTTCTTTTTATTGCAATTTCCAGTGTGAGAGAGTACATCAGATTACAGAAAAACATTTAGACAAAGAATAACATTGGGTATACAAACATACAGATTCTATGCAACTACATTGGATTCACAATTACATGGCTAACAAACAAACAAACAAAGGGGAATTAGATTTTCACTCATACATTCACACCATATGTACATGCATTCATCCTCAGGCATTCAAATATTACCATATCCTTTTCTCCCTCCTTGGAGAAGCACCTGCTTTCCTGCAACCTGTCAATGCATAGTTCCATAATGCCAAAACTTCTTTCCCTAAGCACAATGCCAAGGACCAGATCTCTGTTTTCCATACAGCAGAACCTGACTCCCTGCATAAAACCTAAGACTCCAAAAGCACACTTCTTCCTCTTCCCTTGAGAAAGAATCCCCAAAGTGACCAGAATTTCTCTCCTTCCCATGGAGCAGAGCATAGCATAGGAGGTGGAACAGACTCCACAGGTCTGCCACACTTTGAGCATTATTGTTGTTGTTGTTGTTCATTCGTTCAGTCGTCTCCGACTCTTCGTGACCTCATGGACCAGTCCCACGCCAGAGCTCCCTGTCGGCCGTCACCACCCCCAGCTCCTTCAAGGTCAGTCCAGTCACTTCAAGGAAGCCATCCATCCATCTTGCCCTTGGTCGGCCCCTCTTCCTTTTGCCTTCCACTTTCCCCAGCATAATTGTCTTCTCTAGGCTTTGCTGTCTCCTCATGATGTGGCCAAAGTACTTCAACTTTGTCTCTAGTATCCTTCCCTCCAATGAGCAGTCGGGCTTTATTTCCTGGAGGATGGACTGGTTGGATCTTCTCGCAGTCCAAGGCACTCTCAGAACTTTCCTCCAACACCACAGCTCAAAAACATCTATCTTCCTTCGCTCAGCCTTCCCTAAGGTCCAGCTCTCACATCCGTAGGTTACTACAGGGAATACCATGGCTTTGACTAGGCAATGGATCTTTGTTGCCAGTCTGATGTCTCTACTCTTTACTATTTTATCGAGACTGGACATTGCTCTCCTCCCAAGAAGTAAGCGTCTTCTGATTTCCTGGCCACAGTCTCTGCAGTAATCTTTGCGCCTAGAAATACAAAGTCTGTCACGGCCTCCACATTTTCTCCCTCTATTTTCCAGTTGTCAATCATTCTTGTTGCCATAATCTTGGTTTTTTTGACGTTTAGCTGCAACCCGGCTTTTGCGCTTTCTTCTTTCACCTTGATTAGAAGGCTCCTCAGCTCCTCCTCGCTTTCGGCCATCAGAGTGGTGTCATCTGCATATCCGAGGTTGTTAATGTTTCTTCCAGCAATTTTCACCCCAGCTTTGCATTCCTGAAGCCCCGCACATCCTCGCATGATGTGTTCTGCATACAAGTTAAAAAGGTTGGGTGAGAGGATGCAGCCTTGCCGTACGCCTTTCCCAATCTTGAACCAGTCTGTTGTTCCGTGGTCAGTTCTGACTGTGGCTCCTTGGTCCTTGTACAGATTCCTCAGGAGAGAGGGAAGGGGGCTTGGGATGCCCATCCCACCAAGAACTTGCCACAATTTATTATGATCCACACAGTCAAAGGCTTTAGAATAGTCAATGAAGCAGAAATAGATGTTTTTCTGAAACTCCCTGCCTTTCTCCATTATCCAGCGGATATTGGCAATCTGGTCTCTCGTTTTTCTGCCTTTTCTAAACCCAGCTTGAACATCTGGCAACTCTCGCTCCATGTATTGCTGGAGTCTTCCTTGCAGGATCTTGAGCATTACCTTACTGGCATGAGAAATAAGGGCCTGTACGGAAGTTTGAGCAGTCTTTCGCATTTCCCTTTTTTGGTATGGGGATATAAGTTGATTTTTTCCAGTCTGATGGCCATTCTTGTGTTTTCCATATTTTCTGGCATATGGCATGCATCACCTTGAGCATTATTAGACTGAGCCTTTTATACGAATGTTCTGTTGATGTAGTCCCAAAGTTGTATATTAATGGTAGACGTCTTCCATCCTGGCTCCATCTCAGTTTCCTGGCCAGATGTTGATCTTCTTGATTGGTATTAACAAACACAAGGTTGTGTTGACTTCCTTCTTAACATTGTTAACATTCCTGTTATCAGTGTCTCATTCTTATGAGAGTTTACTTGTTCAGCTGTCATTAACAACTTTTAATTATAGTCCAGCAAGCAGGTAGTCATTGCAGCCCTTAATATTTTACTGGTGTCTCCAAAATTATTAACTCCATACATACATACATCCTTCCATTCATTCTCACACATCATTATTAAATTCACATTTCTCAAATCTGCAATAATTTTTTCGTGACATTTATTATTGATCCCTTTTCACAGATGAACAAGTTTATTGAGAAAACCATATATAATATAAAAACAGTTTCAAAATACATCCAGGAACCAGATTTCCAGAAGCTTAACAAAAAACAAAGACCAATTCTGAATAGGAATCCCAAAATCATTTAAGCAAGAAACTGCAATCCAAAGGTTGTTGCACTTAAACTAGAAGCTCAAAAGCTTGAAAGCATGAACATGACCAAAATCCAAACACTTGATACTTGAACTTGACTATAATCCCAAAGGCTTGAAACTTGAAACAAGATTTGTAATCCAAACAGGAGGCATGGAACTTAAACAGGAAAAAAGATACAGACTCAAGAACAGAATTCCTAAATCGGAGCTCCTAAGACAGGCAACTTGATACATCAAAATCCAACGCTGATCTCCCCAGCAAACATGGACACCCAATTCCTTAAGAATTCTCAGTCTTGCCCATGACATCAGTCTTTCTCACACTAGGGCTCTCTTTGTTTATCTTTCAGCCTCTAGGAACACCAGTTTTGTCTCTGTTTCGCACTACCCCTTCTGAGCTGTAAATGTTGGGTTATCGGTAACCCTCCTGTCTCCACAATTCCTTTCATAGTCAATTCCTGGCCAATTCCCATGAGAATCACTGCCTGTTTCTCTGACAACAGATCTACCCAAAACATTCCCATTGTCTCGAAAAACGCTTTCCCCTGCAGAAATACCAGGCTCAATCAGAAAATCCCAGTCCTCATCCTCAAAGGCTTCCCAGGCCTCAACACTGATCTAATCAGGGATCACACTGGATATATAAGATTTAAGGGTAATGCATATTCATTAGCTGCTTTTGATTTTGAACTCCTTTATATTCAAAACATTTATTGGCTGGGTGAGCTGGAGTGTGTCCATCTATATTAAAATAGTACTTAGATACAAAATTTGGAGTTTTTATTTATTATGGTTATTTATTTATTTATATTAATATTTATTTATACCTTGCTTTATCTCCCCAAAGGGGACTCAGAGTGGCTTGGCATAAAATCATTAATATAGAATTTAAAATATACAAACATTAAAACAGAATTAAACACAAACATCATTAAAAATCCATGAAAACATTCAAAGTTCAAAACCACCACCCCCTGACTAGATCTTTAAACACCTTAATCTTTATTATTTTACATTCTTTTATATTCATTTTAAAATTATTTTTGGCCATAGCACCCAGTACCCTTCTGGACACTAAATGCTTATAAGTGTTTTGTTGTTGTTGTTATATTTATTATATTAATATTTATAAATGCTTTGAATATGCATTGACTAAGTTTGAATGGTTTTCAACTGAATTTTTTAATACTGTCTACTAGGGCTGGGCGGTTTCGTTAATTTCGTAATTCGTTAATAATTCGTTATTTTTTGGGTAAACGAAGCGATAACAAACCATCCAGGAGCAACTAAAAAACGAAACGAATTTTTAAAGCTATTTCGTAATTGTTTTGTTATTGTTTCGTTATTATTTCCGTATGTGTCTGGTGCAAGTTTTATAGTTGTTTCCCTCCCCTCTCCCTGGTTGCAAGCGGTCGGCATTTACCCCACTTCCGGGTCCCTGGCCTCTGCTTAAGTGGATCAAATTCTCCTCTCCTCCTGTCGTCACCTCACCTCGTTCCTCACTCTGGCCTGCGTGCATTGGGCAAAGAGACACAGCAGTGCAGCACTCAGAGACCTGCCTGTTGCCTGCCTAACCTCTTTCCTTCTCCAGGTTAAAACTATTATTATTATTATTATTATTATTATTATTATTATTATTATAAGAATGGATGGCCATCTTTCAGTAGTGCTTTGACTGTCCCTTATATTCACGAAGGCAGAAAGTGGTTTGTTATTATTATTATTATTATTATTATTATTGAGAAGAAGCATTGTCAAACCAGATAGAGATCTCACCCACCCTCCTCTCTCTCTCCTTCCCCCCCTTTCCTTCTCCAGGTTAAAACTATTATATTAATTATATTTATTATTATTATTATTATTATTAAGAATGGATGGCCATCTTTCAGTACTGCTTTGACTGTCCCTTACATTCACGAAGGCAGAAAGTGGTTTGTTTCACCCCTCCTCTCTCTCTCTTTCCCCCCTCTTTCCTTCTCCGAGGTTAAAACTATTATTTAAAACTATTATTTTCACTTCGCGCAACCGCGTCCGCCATTTTAACGAATTGATCCGTTAATATTAACGAAATTTCGTAAGTACCGAACTTTCTTAAGGGAAAATTTTGTAATTATTTTAAATATCGAAACAAAAAAACACCCCAATTACAAATCGATTTTAGAACCAAATTTTTTCTTGATCAACCAGGCCTACTGTCTACATTGAATTATGTATTATGTATTGAGGTTTGTATATTTGTATATTTTAAATTGTGTGTTAAGCCGCTTTGAGTCCCCTTCGGGAGAGATAAAGTGGGGTATAAATAAATATAACAACAATAACAATATACTTTTTTTTTCTCCTAGAGAGACTAAATGAGGTAAACAATGATATAAACAAAGTATGCAATTTAAAACCTAAAGACCATGGACATTAAAATAGAATTAAACCTAAAACTCTTTAATAGCTAATCATTAAAAACATTTCAAAATAGATAAAATAAACCTTACTATCGTCACTGCTACTATTACTATTACTCATTTCCAGCTTTCCAATATTGGGTTGTATAACAATTAAAAACCTACCAAAATGGTTTTAACTTTGAATATGTTTTAAAGGTTTTTAACTAGGACTTTTTAAAAATACTGTTTATATTTAATCCTATTTTAATGTTTGCATATTGGTATATTTTAAATTGTATAGTAATACTTTTATGTTAAGCTATTTAAAGTCTCTGCAGGAGAGATGAAGCAGAATAAATAAATGCAACAACAACAACAATAAATATTATGTGCTATGATTTTGAGAGGCTGCCCTGCTTGGAAGTCATAAATCCCATAGAAACATTCTTGCACAGCATCAAGGTCCATGATTGGGATTTAGGATCAAGTCTTGTATGCACAGAGGTTGGAAAAGTTAGAAAATAGATAGACAGATAGATAGGTTTCAGGATATTCTGTGAAATTGCAGACTCAAGAGGTGGCAGGGAAAAAAGAGAGTGGACATGAGAATCTAATGAGGTTTCTTTCCTTGTTCGTAGGCCCTTGGTTGCTTCCAAGACGGATAAACTTGAATTGCAGGATTGCCTGGAATACAGTAGGACAGCCAAGGTAATAATACGTTGTGCTCCTCAACTCCCTTTGCAATTCTGAGTATTTTCTCTGGGAGGAGAAGAGCCAGGAGAAGAGCCATTGGTTCGCTAGCTGCCTCTTGCAACGTAGCTTGATATTTATGCAGATAATAGGGGTTTCCTTGTTAGATAGATATGAGGGTTGAATGAAAAGTAATGCTCTGACGAGCTACAAGCTCTAAAACAGAGCCAAGCTAAGCAAATGTAAAGCTCAACAACCACAAACTCAGTGCCTTGTTTTATACAGAAAGTAGATAACACACCCATCTAAGCCATAACAGCTGCTTTAGTGCTGTAATAGAATGGCTCGGCTCCTTGCTTTTACAAGGGTTGAATGAAAAGTAATGCCTCCACCTTCGTAACTCCTCAACCAATGGCAGTACTGGTATGCAGCAGGTACTGGCTTGTTCAGTAGACTCTCCTCTACAGTTCCATTTTGGTGGGAAGCCTTAGCATTGAACGGGTGTGTTGTTAAAGTGTGAAGTATGAAACACTGCACAGACGGTTGCTCAATGCGACTTAAGCAACATCCAGTCATCAAATTCTTGACAGCAGAAGATGTCACCCCAAAGGAGATTCATCAGAGAATGCCAGCTGTTTATGGTGATTGTTTTGATGTGAGTACTATGCGTCGTTGGGCGAGAAAGTTTAAAGATGTTGAGTTGGAAACGTCTGACTTGTGTGACAAAGAGTTGGACATCCTGTGAAAGCAACCACCGAGTTTCACAAGCAAAAGGTTGACAGATTGATTCAGGACGATCATCGTATCACTCAGAGATAAATTTCAAGCACAATCGGCATTTCACAAGAACGTGTGGGTCACATTATTGCTTTGCTTGGCTATTGGAAGATCTGTGCACAATGGGTACCCAGGATGCTGACGCCTGAAATGAAAGCACACAGACTTGGAACTTCAGAGACTGGATCTCACCACCTTACGACATCCTCCATTCAGTCCAGATTTAGCACCGTCTGACTTCCAACTGTTCCCGATAATGAAAGAAGATCATTATGCTTCGGATGAAGATGTTGAGAGGACTGTGAGACACTGGTTGCGGAAACAGTGTCGACTTCTTCCGTGACAGCTTCAGAAAACTTGTTCATCGTTGGCAGAAATGTATCCAATTGTCTGGTGATTGTGTGGAAAAGTGAATAGTGGTAGTTAAAGAGCACATTCTAAGGATTATTTCTGCGTATCATTCAGAGAGAAATTTCAAGCATAATCAGCATTTCACAAGAATGTGTGGGTGACATTATTGCTTTGCTTGGCTATTGGAAGATCTGTGCGCGATGGGTACCCAGGATGCTGACGCCTGAAATGAAAGTGCACAGAGTTCTTCCGTGACGGCTTCAGATAACTTGTTAATCGTTGGCAGAAATGTATCCAATTGTCTGGTGATTGTGTGGAAAAGTGAATAGTGGTAGTTAAAGAGCACATTCTAAGGATTGTTTCTGCGTTTGGTTTATTAAAATATTCCCATCCAAACCCAAGTAACAAAGATGGAGGCATTACTTTTCATTCAACCCTCATAATGCATTGTTAGACAGGAATGCAGTGGCTGTAATCCTATTATGTAACTGGTGTAAAAATACAGTTCTAAAGGACATGTGATCACACACGTGCTGAGTACTTAAGTGGGCGGTGATGTGCCTGGAAAAAGCTGAGTCATGACCATGTGACATTCATGACGAGGGTTGCATAATTCACTTTTGTCCCTGGCTGTTGATGAGAAAGCAATGGATATAAAAGAGGATATGAAGCCTGTGTTCTTTCTCTTGCAATGCGAAATCTCTCGCCGTACTTCTGTTGCCAATATCGTTTGCTCGTAAATCTGTTTTGGCTACGTCATGAATATATCGCTGTATATGCCATTGACTGATGAGGGATCAGGGTATCCTGATCCATGTGTGTATATATTTATACATAGAACAACATGTCAAGATTAAAAGCCTCCTGAGTTTGGATGAAAACTGAACCAGAGTTTTCCTAAACAATGAGCAGCACAAAGCCAGATGGTGCAGTTACACTCTGCTGACAACTGATAAGCACTCTGATGTGTATGGGTTTATTTCAGCTTGACTCTGAGATATTCACACCAGTATGCAGTGTATCCAGGGAGGTCGTGATTGGGAGAACTAAATCACACACCTATCCCGCCTCAACATTCTTCTGATGGAGAGGGAAGGGGGACACGGCTGCAAGGAACCATGTTCAGCAATGACCTCCTGAGATCTGTTTTGCTCTGGATATTATTTTACCTATGTATAGAGAAGTCTTCTCTCTCAGTGCTGAAAGGGAAAGACTTGTTTGAAATGGTCCCTTCTCCTCTGTGCAAAACAAAAGGGTTGAACTCTGCTCTCCTTTTAGAAATCTAAAAAGAATCTTCAGATGGCTTGAGAAGTACAACAAAGTCTTTTATTAATGAACAATCAAACAGGAACTTCTCTTATCTTTAGCAAAGTAAAGCAAATAATTCCAAGCTTCTAGGCTTCTCCCAGGCTGACTGAAATCCAACCCTCACTGGTCTGGGCTCCACTACCGGGCCGAACTGCTTCTCAGACGCCGAGTGGACCTACCAGCAAGGCAGTGGATATTCTCCAGCTGGAGTTCTTTAGTCTTTAGGGCTGTCTCCTGGAAATTGCCAAAGCTGTGGGAATGCTTCCCTGGAGTTCTTGGGAGACTCTTAAAGCTGTTCTCCTGGATTTCTTTCCCTTCTGTTTCTGTTGGAATTTCTATAACCCTGGAAATTCTTAAAACTTGAAGCCTTTGAACAGGGGAAGTTACACACATCCTATACAAAAGCTAACCTGGCTGAGACTGACTAACAAAATGGCTCACTTGCCTTCCAAAGCCCAAAAAGGGGGCGGGACTAGGGAACCTAATGATAATTGACAGGTGACCTGCCCTGTAACTGCAAACTTTAACAGGAAGCTACCCTTCTGCAAAATCCCAAGCCTTGGGCTGCAAACAAACACGTGATACAAAGCAAATAAAGTGGGAGCTTCTTGTACAGCTGTACCTGCACATTACCCCACACTTCCACTGTCTATGTGCCTTCTGCAATCTACAAGGGCTCATGTTTTTTCTTTCTTTTCTTGTCTCCAGTTGAAAAAGGTCCAGACCATCACCACCAAGTCCAATTCGATCAGGCAAGGCAAAGCCCAGACGCTCCCGGTGCGCATGAATGGCAAAGACGACAACTTGTGGTGCACGGAGCTGGAAAGGTGAGATGCAGGATTTGGAAAGTATAGAGAAAATGGGAAAGTTGTATGTGAGTGCTACCAGGGCTATCAAACAGAGCCTCTGATGGGGCTCTTGAAGAAGGTTGTGGGCTGTGGGTATTTACATAGATGTGAATATTCATTGGGGTGCACATTTGAGTTCATGTGCATGTAGCTCCTATCACCCTCTAAGCCAGTGGCTCTCCACCTGTGGGTCCCCAGGTGTTTTGGCCTACAACTCCTAGAAATCCCAGCCAGTTTACCACCCCTCTAAGCCAAGGGCTGGCTGTATATGGACGGAACTCTGACAAATTAACACCACATTAATTACCATGGCCCATACCTATGGAAACTTGGCACTTAGAGCTTGGTGAAGCTATACCTTTGGCAGGGAACGGTAGTAAAGAGCTTAGAACAATTTAAAAGAAAACAAATACAAAATTTGAAAACAATTGAATAGAGTTGTGTGTTCAGATAACTAAACACACTTTAAAATGCACAACCCCCCCCCCCCCCCCCCCCCCCCCCAAATCCAGCCTTTTATGGCCTTGGAAGTTTCCAGTGAATCTGGGTTTCATATATGAACGTGGAGAAGTAGAAAGCTACCCTGGAATGAGACTGTTGGATAATCTGGCCTGGTGTGGGAATCCCTGTGGGAAAATGGCGAGGTATAAATAAAGATTATTATTATTATTAGTTGAAACACAACAAGATCAATCCACAGCAAACAAGATAACTCTGCTGGCTATTGCATTGAATCACACGTCGGACAGTTCCCAAGTGTCTAGGACTGTGCGATGTATTGGCGAATAATGCATGCAGATCCCAGTAAGGTGGCCTTTTGCAGCTGGCAGATAGTAATTTTGTCAGTGCAGATATTGTTTAAGTGCAGGCCAAGGTCTTTAGGCGCTGCACCCAGTGTGCTGATCACCACTGGGACCACCTTATTATTATTATTATTATTATTATTACTATTACTAGCTGTCCCCTGCCACACGTTGCTGTGGCCCACATGGGGGTTCAGTGAGGTTTGGCCCAGTTCTATCGTTGGTGGGGTTTAGAATGCTCTGTGATTGTAGGTGAACTATAAATCCCATCAACTACAACTCCCAAATGCCAAGATTCTATTTTTCCCAAACTCCACCAGTGTTCACATTTTGGCATATTGAGTATTCATGTAGAGTTTGATCCAGATCCATTCATTGTTTGAGTCCACAGTAATCTCTGGAGGTAGGTGAACTACAACTCCAAATACAAATGACACTGCCCACCAAACCCTTCCAGTATTTTCTGTTGGTCAGGGGAGAAGTGTGTGCCAAGTTTGGTTCAGTTCCATCGTTGGTGGGGTTCAGAATGCTCTGTGATTGTAGGTGAACTATAAATCCCAGCAACTACAACTCCCAAATGTCAAGATTCTATTTTCCCCAAACTCCACCAGTGTTCACATTTGGGCATATTGAGTATTCATGTAGAGTTTGGTCCAGATCCATCATTGTTTGAGTCCACAGTAATCTCTGGATGTAGGTGAACCACAACTCCAAAACCAAAGGACACTGCTCACCAAACCCTTCCAGTATTTTCTGTTGGTCATGGGAGAAGTGTGTGCCAAGTTTGGCCCAATTCCATCGTTGGTGGGGTTCAGAATGCTCTTTGATTGTAGGTGAACTATAAATCCCTGCAACTACAAATCCCAAATGACAAAATCAATTTTTTGAGTGAAGAACATACATTGAGTTGTTAGGTGTATTGTGTCCAAATTTGGTGTCAATTCGTCCAGTGGTTTTTGAGTTCTGTGAATCCCACAAACGAACATTACATTTTTATTTATATAGATTATTATTACTACTTGGGGAGAAGACTGGGAGAGAATGGATCCCTGTTTGGCAGAAAGGGGTTGGGCTAGATGGCCCTTGGGGTCCCTTCCAAGTCCGTGATCCTAACCCCTCTGTTTGCTGCTCTTCCCAGGATCTTTGGCTTCCCCCTCCATTACACGGACATTTCCAACATGGGCCGTGGAGCTCGCCAGAAGCTGTTGGGCCGGTCCTGGAGCGTGCCGGTCATCCGCCACCTCTTTGCTCCGCTCAAAGACTATTTTGCCTGCGACTAGAGAGCCAGGCTCTCCGTGTGGCCTCCTTCAAACATCCGCGGGAAGGAAGTAAGGACCAGGATGGACCAGAGACGAGTGCTACCTTCCTCTGTGTGCCATTTGCACCGTGACATATTTCTCTCCGATAAGAAACTAAAGAGATCTCCACAAACATTTCCTTTTACCCGGGATCCAAAAAGACCTCCGTTCATCCATTGTGCAAAATACTTCTCCATCTCGGAAAACAATTTTTCAGGGTTTGGCTGGGAAAGCCAACACATTAGAACAGGGGAAAAGAAAAATCTTTCAAGGAAAAGTCACCAAGGAACTCTTAACGAAGTAGCAATGCATCAAACATCTTGTGTTTCATACCTTGTACACGCTAGAAAAACCAAAAGGCTAAAGGGGAAAATGGGACTAAGTACTGAGCGAGAATGTGGAAATTCCTGGAAAGGAATTGAACCAAAGCACAACTAAGCAATAATACATCATGCGAAAATGGAAGAGAAAGGAATAGAAAACCAAAAATCCTCTATTGGGAGGTACCTTTTAAAAGTACAGTAATCTTGTAAGAAATGCTTTTAACACAGTCATTTTAGGAATGTGTTACAAAGGAGAAATTTCACCTACATTTAGATTTCTCTTGCATATCGGAGAAGGAGCTGTTGATGAAGAATTTCCTTGAGAATTTCGGCATTTCAGAGAGACATAGGTGGAATGATCCTTGAGTGAGTTTTGCAATCTCAGCCTCTGAAGGGCAACTTTTATTTGCCAAAGAATGGCAAGGAAACCCGTTTTTATCCTACTTTTAAATTCTACAATTACTTCAACTGGAAAACTGTCTTTAACTTGGGGAAAAATAACGTGTCTTGCTGTCTGTTATTGTGTGCCTTCGCCCGGAACGGGCTTCCGATGGAGGGATGTCGGGTCTGGTCCCGACGGATGCTGCTATTTTCATCATGAACGTTAAGCTTGTTTCTTTTTCCAAATGGACATTACCTGTACTGCTGTTTTTAATATATATATATATATACACAAAATAATCAGTCTTATCCTGCAACGGAGACCCTCTTCAAGGGGACAAATCAAACCCTTGGGTTTTTTGTAGATTTTGATGGGCAGGTATTTGCCCAGGTAATTTAAGCATCATTCTCCTTCCGCCAATAATTGCACTGAGGCAACATTTGCTGCACCTCTTTGTGTTGATTGCAACACAAAAGATCTCTGGGGTATAGCACTACTCTTTATGTAGGGTGTTGTTTGGGAGTAATCATTGAGAAAAGTAATTCAACAAACCTTTGCTTCCTGTGCTGCAAAGGATTTTTCAAAATCCACTGTTGTATTGGCTGGAAGTTTTGGGATTATGATCCTCACGTGTCTTTTTGGAGACCACTACTTTGGGTCATTGTTTAACAGGGCTTTGGGTTTTAATGCGGGTTTTGGAGGTACTCTCCAATGTGCTGAATAAACATCTCTAAATGGGGTTGTTGCCTTGAAGAGTGGCAGATTTTGGCTAACATTTGGGGATCGATCCCCTGCCCAAGGATTCCCTGCAAAACAGGTCAGGTCTCCAAAGCGATGCTTAGTGCTGATCGAACAAACACCAAAATGTATATTTATCTGGAAATGTACGTGGACAGGATACTGTCTTGCTGTAGAGAGTTCAGCTTGGCCCCAAATTGCATGGAATCGACTCCTAGCAGAAGCTTTTCCCAAAAAGAACTGGGATCTTATGAGTCACAAATCTCTCCAAAAGATGCTTTCTTGTAGCAACATTAACCAGGGCACAACTGCCTTTTCTTCTGTCCTTTGCCTTTTGTTTGACTTCATTCCCATCAGTAACTCTAAAATAGTTCTTCAATGCAAATGCTAGAATAATTTGATTTAATTTGTCCAACTTATTGTCGAAGGCTTTCATGGCCAGAACCACTGGGTTGTTGTGGGTTTTTAGGGCTGTATGGCCATGTTCTAGAAGCATTCTCTCCTGATGTTTCCCCTGCATCTATGGCAGCCATCCTCAGAGGTTGTAAGGATGCCTGCCATAGATACAGGGGAAACATCAGGAGAGAATGCTTCTAGAAAATGGCCGTAGCGCCCTAAAAACCTACAACAACCCAATTTGTCCAACTATTCAGGGAGTTGTTTTGCGAACCACTGCCTCTGTGAAGGCTGTTGGGGACAAGCTTTTGTGTATTTAATCTCCATCTGCAAAAAATTGCTAGTAACCAAGGAGGATACTCGTAGCAGGATTACTGAATTGGGACAACAGCAATCTTTTTTTTGTGGGTTCTTGTAGGTTTTTTTGGGCTATATGGCCATGGTCTGGAGGCATTCTCTCCTGACGTTTCGCCTGCATCTGTGGCAAGCATCCTCAGAGGTAGTGAGGTCTGTTGGAACCAGGAAAAAGGGGTTATATATCTGTGGAATGACCGGGGTGGGACAAAGGACTCTTGTCTGCTGGAGCTAGGTGTGAATGTCTCAACTGACCACCTTGATTAGCATATAATGGCCTGACAGTGCCTGGAGCAAACTTTTGTTGAGAGGTGATTAGATGTCCCTGATTGTTTCCCTCTGCTGATTGTTTTCCCTCTGTTGAGAGGTGATTAGGTGTCCTTGTTTGTTTCCTCTTTGTTATTGTGCTGTTGTAATTTTAGAGTTTTTAAATTTGAGATCACAGAAATGCTGGACCACTCTCACAAACACCATGTCAGACTACACAGAGAAGCCATTGAAATACACTAGCATGTGGACAATTTCAACAGAAAGGAGGAAACCATGAAAATGAACAAAACCTGGCTACCAGTATTAAAAAACTCTAAAATCACAACAGTACAACAACAGAGAGGAAACAAACAAGGACATCTAATCACCTCTCAACAAAAGTTTGCTCTAGGCACTGCCAGGCAATCAAATGCTAATCAAAGTGGTCAGTTGAAACGTTCACACCTAGCTCCAGCAGATAATAGTCCTTTGCCCCACCCTGGTCATTCCACAGATATATAAACCCACTTTCCTAGTTCCAACAGACCTCACTACCTCTGAGGATGCTTGCCATAGATGCAGGCGAAACATCAGGAGAGAATGCCTCCAAACCATGGCCATATAGCCCGAAAAAACCTACAACAACCCAGTGATTCCAGCCATGAAAGCCTTCGACAATACCAATCTCTCTTTGTGTTTTGAACTGTGTAAATGTGAGTGCTTTGGGTTTCGGTGAGAACTTTGAAGGAGTTATGGAGCTGAAACCCTCATGGTTTGCACCTTGTGTGGATTCTTTAAAGTTCTGACTAAAACACAGAACACAGTTTAAAAAAGATTTGTATCTATTTGGAAGACTTAGGCAACCCCATATCTTTGATTTTGCTGAAATAAGTGGGCAAAGAGCCAAAGTGCACCACTGGAAAGGATTGCAAGACCAGCATCATGCCAATAAATGTGTGAATGGGAGACCACAAGAAATCCATTGAGCTTGGACTAGATATGCCATATTGTTTGGGTAGAAATATTGAATATCATGCACAAATCAGCCATATGTGCCTTTTGCTTTTGTACTTCCTTTTCCAGAACAGCAGCCAGTTCTGCAGGGAAAAAAAGATGCCTTTTTCTGTTGCAATTCCTTGTGGTTAAAATTATATTAATAATAATACCAATAACCGAAAAACCCTCAAATGAAGGAGGATAAACAAAGTAAAAGAAAGCCATCAAAAAGGCAATAATGTCACAAAGATGTTTTCAAAAGGCCTTCTTCCCCTTCTCGGTGCTATACATTTTAAGACTTGTTGATATCGGAGCTCGTTTGATGTTTTTAAGACGCTTTATTGTTAAATGGCATTCCTTATTGTTCTTTGTGTTGTTGTTATTGTTTTATTTTTTAAAAATTGAGTTTCATGGATGTGAAGCTGAAGACCAAAGTAAACATCGAGAACTGCGCCTCTTTTTAAGGAGTAATTGTTTTCGGGGGATTTTTTTAATTACTGTTTCTACAAAGTTTACCTTGAACATTTTATCATTGTTTAATTAAAGTCAGTGTTGTTCTATGTTGTCTTGCTATTTCTCTGCAACGCTTTTCAGTGCATGAAACAGTGCCATTCTCGGGGAGGCAAGCACACATGTTCATTTTTCCTAAATGAGCCCTCGGTGGCGCACAACTGCAGCAGTTTGAATCCGGGGAGCAGGGTGAGCTCCCACCTGTCAGCTCCAGCTGCCCATGCGGGGACATAAGAGAGAGGCCTCCAACAGGAAGGTTAAACATCTGGGCATCCCCTGGGGAAACATCCTTGCAGACGGTCAATTCTCTCACACCAGAAGTGACTTTCAGTTTCTCAAATCACTCTTTGTTTTCCTAATAGGTCCGATCCCCAAAAGAGGAGGAATTCCTAAAATCACTGGAAGTAAATATTCAAAGGTGCATTTTTTAAGCAGGGGTAAACTTGGGCCTTCCAGGTGTTTTGGACTTCAACTCCCATAATTCCTAACAGCTGGCAACACATCCTTTGTTGGGAGGTGTTAGCTGGCCCTGATTGATTTAAAAAGTGGGAAATCCAGACAAGAATCAATCAGGGAAAGTAACAAAGAATAAAAAATGGCGGCGGCGAAAGCAAAAATAGATAAAGGAGACAAAGGAGATAAGGACAAGGATAAAGAGAAAGACAAAGAGGGAAAAGAAAGTAAAGAAACTAAAGGGGCAACAAGAAGACTATCGGTATCAGAGGAGCTTAGCATAAGAGAGATCCTGAAAAATATGATGAAGGAACTACAGTCAATACAAGATAAACAGGACAAACTACAGGAAAAGCAGGACAAGATGCAAGAAAAGCAAGATGCTTACCAAAAAGTGGCACAAGAACAGATGGCAGATTTACGAAAAGAATTGAAGGAAGAAGTCGGCGCAGTAAAAACAGAAATCACATCAATACAACAGGAACTGAAAGAACTGAGAATCGAAAAAAGCAACATGAAAGTGGAACAAGAGAAGCTACAGAAAAAAGTCGAGAAGCTGGAACAAAAAGAGGAGAAACTGGAAAAACTCGAACAAAAACAGGAAGCGATGGAAACAAGAAATCTAGAATTTCAACTAAGAATGAGAAACGTCCCAGAAGAGAGAGGTGAGGACATCCAAGAGAAAGTAACGGAGATTCTGAGGGAACTATTGGAGCTGTCAGAACAAGAGACTTTAATGCAGACAGACAGAATCTATAGAATAAATACAATTTATGCGAAAAGAAACAAAACGCTACGAGACGTGATTGTGCATCTAGTCAAAAAGACGATCAGAGACGAAATTCTGAGACTGAATGGGAAAAAACAGATACTTTACAAAGGTGAGAAAGTAACGATCCTGAAAGAAATTCCGGCGACAGCACTTAGAAGAAGAAGGAAATATACATTCCTCACAGAGGAGTTGAAAAAGCAAAGAATACGTTACAGATGGGAAAAAGATGAAGGACTAATGGCCACGTACAAAGAGCAAAGATATTGGATAACAAACGAGGAAAGAGCCAGAGATTTCTATGATGAAATAAAAAGGGACAGAGAAAGAGAAAGGGGCAAAGAGAGAAGATTCGGAAATAAGAACAAAAATAACCAACCAGACACAACAGCCAGAGAAGAAAGTAATACAGAAGAATACAGAAGTAAATTAAGAGGCTGGTCCGGAAACAAATCAAAAAAGGAAGAAGGAGACCAACCATTGGAAAATGAAGAAGACGAGGAAGAGGAGGAGGGTGAAGAGGAGGAAGAGGAAGAAAAGGGAGAAGAAGAGAGAAGGGAGAGAGAAGTCGAAGAAGAAGAAAAATGCACGGAGAACTGAAAATATACTCAAGCAACATAAATGGTCTTAATTCACCGTATAAAAGAAGTAAAGTTTTCAACAAGTTAAAGAAAAAAAATTATCATATTGTGGCGTTACAAGAAACACATATAGCCCAACGACATGCGATACATCTAGAAAATAAAAACTTAGGGAACTTATACTATGCATCAGCGCAAGAGAAGAAAAAAGGCGTAGCAACATACATAGATAGGAAGATCACATCAACATTGGCCTTTAAAGATGAAGACGGTAGATACCTCGGAGTGACTATACAAAACCAAGGCAAGAAGATTTTAATTTGCAATATATACGCACCAAATGACTCAAAAACCAACTTTGCAGTAAAAGTAAAAATGCAGATAGAACAAGAAGAATTCGACCAACTGATAATATTAGGAGATTTTAATGGAGTTATAGATGGAGAAATAGACAGAAGCAAGAAAAGCAGACAGAAAAAAGGAAATAAGAAAACAAGTGGAAACCTACCAAAATCAATAATAAATTGGATGAAAGAATTTAATTTATGCGATGTATGGAGGACAAAAAATGAAACAACAAGAGATTATACCTTCTTTTCAGAAAGGCACAAAAAGTGGTCTAGGATAGACATGATATGGCTGTCAAAATCTCTGCTAATAGAAGTTAAAAAGATAAAAATCTATGCAAGAGAAGATTCAGATGACAGCCCTCTAGAATTAGTTTTAAACGAAGGAAAAAAAGGATGGAGATGGAAATTAGACGAAAATTTACTGGCAAAAGAAGAAGACATAGAAAGAAACAGAGAAATCATGAAAGAATTTTTCGAAATAAATGACAAACCAGAAACACACCCATTCACAGTGTGGGAAACTAGCAAAGTGGTAATGAGGGGATATTTTATCCAACAAAAAGCGAGGAAGAAGAA